TAATCTTATTTATTTTCCTCCGAAACACAAATAGGTTGAATTTATGGCTTAGAGCACATGACAAGGTAGACATCCTCATAGTAAAAAATGAATAGTCTTGTGAATGAATGTTTTTTACTACCCGAACCTTGACACAGACATGATCCTGTTTATAACTTACTCTGGTAGTTTCTATTTCTATTTTAACTATTAACTATTTTTCACTCTAGTGTGCACTACTGTTTATGACCACTAGGTGACACTAGAGTGCTAATATGTGTGACCACGGTTATGTTACAGGTTCTTTTTTCATTGCCTTGTGTCCTCTTAGTTGGGTGTTGATTTTGAAATTCCTGACAGTAGTAATAAGCTGATGTACAAATGATGCTTCTGGTGCATGGAACACAAATGTATGACATTATTTTTAAAGGCTAAAAATGACCAATAAGCTTGACTATAGGATATATTGCACACAATAATGTGATATTTGAAGCATCAAGCAAATGATCAAGGTCCAACTCACATGTCATACAGACACATGTCTACTGGTCCTGTCTGTCTCCTGAAGCCACTGAAATGGTTATTTCTTTGAATAAATTCATAGGATCCCTGTGAGATAGGCTGTGACAGTAAACCAATTAGAGTTTATTGTTGGGGCGGTTGCTAGGTAGAGCAGGGAATTGAGAGAGAGGTGAAGGGTGAAGGGGTTACCCTTCCTGGAATCCAGAGGCCCTAAATGGGGTCACCATGCATAGAAAAAAAGAGGGTCTGGAAATACTCATAAGAATGTGGTCGCTTTTCACAAGCTATTGCACACAAGTGTTCACTTTCTTTTTGTTATGTGTTGACACCATCATACCTGATAGAGGCCATGTTAAAGACCCCCTACATCCATTCAGTTTATTCATACCCTTAAATATGGACACTAGTCGTAGTTTAGGGGGAAACAGCTTATAACCTCCGTCTAGTTTTCTCTACCTAACATTCTGGTATTGCCACCACTGCCTAGAGACAGCCTAATATCCAAACATTCCTGATAAATTTTCTTTACCCATTGAAAATACAGCTGTAGTATTACAAGAGAGGTTCAGGTTTTATATTTATATATTTATTTTATATTATTTATACTTTTACTTTAGACTGTCTGTATTTTGTGACCATTATTAAGGAAATGGGCTTAAGCTGCACTCATCAAAATGTTCGTATTAACAATGGATCAGATATGTGTAATGGGAATTGGTTGCTGGAAGTACATAGAATTATCACCTCAGTTTTTAGCTCATTGTTTTGCCAACATTACCATTTTGGTTCTCATAAACCCTGTTTCCAGCAGGAACAAAAAAAAAAAAAGTACTAGGGAAAATAAGAACAAATAAAAACAATATCGTTATCTCAAGATCATAAGTTAATTTATCTCCAACAATGACTTCCCAGGTGGTTTTGTGTAACAGGTTTGTCAAAGACCAAAACTGAGCTAAAAGGAGGGTGAATGTAGGACTTGCTGGATTGCTAATATGTTTATGTAATGTTTATAGCTTGTTCTGCTGCCCCCAAGTGGCCAAAGCAATAACTAATACTGCTTTAAAGACATACCAGTATTCCATTTTTGGATAAAACCCGCATAACTGATAACAATTCTATTCAGAAAAGACCCCCTCAAATCCCCTCATGTCAGTAGAGCCCAGACAAGGGTCAACGGTTGGTAAGAGTTTGTGATTATATAGTACATACATAGGATGCTGTGTGTGTGTGTGTGTGTGTGTGTGTGTGTGTGTGTGTGTGTGTTGGTATTGCACTGTGATGGAGTTACCCCCTCATGTCTCTTCCTGAGCCCCTCCAACCCATCTTCGCCCCATCCCATTCCACACCCTTATTCCTGGCTAATCCATGACTAATCAAGCTTCTCCCCCTGGGGGGTTTCCTCCCTCACCCTCTCTTTAAATCTTAAACCTATCATCTGCTCCATTAGAGACTGCCCCAGCCTTTTTCCTCCCACAACTGTTTATGTGTTAGTGTCCTCTAACCAGCATGGCTCCCAGGGTCTGATTAAATTTATCAAGATAGCACCTACAACCAACCACCCCCAGGAAAGGCAGTACGAAGAAAGAGTGATGGAGTGGAGGAGAAGTGCAACACATGGAGAAAAAAGTCCAAATATCCACATTTTCCCACCTTAAGGGCCTAAATGTGCCAAATGCACTGGATATGAGTATCTCTAATATGCTTGTATTTTTTGTTGCATCTTAATGTCCAGTAATCATGTATGATTGTTGATGTTCCTCTCGCACTACCCACACTCAATACCAACCCAATGCAAAGTCAATCAAAACATGGATAGCGTGTTATTCATAATAATTGTGTGAGATGTTCTGATTGCATCTCACTGGTGGTTTCATTTCGCTACAAGGGATTTAAAACAGCAAGTCAAGAACTGTTGATGCTGTGTGGGATATATTCATTTTAGTGTATAGTGACAATAAACATCATGACTGATACACCCAATCTCCAAGTAGTTTTGATTTTTTTCAATCTTTCAAATTAAATAAGAAATTAAATCAAATGAAGGCAGCCAATATGGAGAGAAATTATACTCATTACACTGAAAAATGCATTATTTGTGATTCAAATCACACAGATGTATGATTTTAGTGCTTTCATGGGAGCTCAGACCCCACTGGCTCCCACATGACTTGAACCCCATATACATTGCCCATTCAGGTAGTGCTGATTACACACACACACACACACACACACACACACACACACACACACACACACACACACACACACACACACACACACACACACACACACACACACACACACACATGTGACTCCTTACACCCACAAACCCTTGCATTTTGTGGTTGTTTCCTGTATTTGGTTCAGGTTGCATCTTTACCCTAAACAAGCTTTAGGTGGAAGAGTTTTAGAGGTCTTGCTACCAGAATTTTTCCTCAACAAGTGCATCAAAACATGCTTAATGTGACACTGCCGCCATGTGTTAAACTATAAGCCTGAACAAACTCCTCCTCCCCAGTGATCCTCAGCAGCACTCAAGCCCTCATCCTGGACCTCACCAAACATTTAGAGAAGCACAATACAACAGAACAGGCACCCTTTTGTCATCACCAACATGGGGCCTCTCTCCCTCTCTCCCTGATCAGTGAGCTGCAGAAGAGAGAACGTCCACACTCTATAAATGCTTCCACTCAACCTTCCATCATAATCTTTAGTCAATTTAAGCCATTTTTAATGCATTATCTGCCTTAAACAGTAGAATTTAAGTCTGAACTTCAATTCAGTTGAATTTGATTTTTTTTCATTAGTTGACAGATATCAAGCATTGCTGATAAATATTTTAGTGTGGGCTTATTCTGGGGTTGATTTTATTGAAAATGTTATTTTATCTTTATTTAACCAGATAAGTCAATTGAGAACCAATTGTTATTTACAATGACGACCTGTCCAAGAGGCAGCAACAAGAGCCACGGTAGGCAAGTCGATACAGCAAGTAAAACATACATGCAGCTAAAGCAATGGTCCTAATTTATTTTTTTATTTATATGCTTCCTCTGGTTCAAATAATCTGCAGGTATAACATTAATTCCACTGTTATGTGGATGAAACACAACTTTATGTTCCAATATCCTGTGCTGACAAAGACCTGAGTGCCAACTTTAGAGAAGATCTTGGGAACCTGTCCTCCAATGTCACACTCACACAAATGTTCATCATGCAGACCTCAGCATGCTCAGCTAAAAGGCCTTTGCCTGTATCCAGCTCGTTCAGAACTCAGCTGCCACACTTCTTACAAACTCTAAGAGACAAGACCATATGACACCCGTCTTTGGAACCTTTTATTGGCTACCTGTTAAGTATAGAATTGCTTTCAATCATTTACTAATTACTTTTATAGACCTACATGGTCTTGATCCTACAGATTTACTTGTGCATTATGAACCGCTACCTGCATTCTTAACTGACCCTTAACTGTTCCGAAGCCTGCCTCGTTACAAAATGAAAACAAGCGTTTTACATTACTGTGGAACTCTACCTGAGGAACTTAGGTTAGTTAGTACCTGCTTTAAATCACTCCTCAAAACGTACTTTTACAAAATCACTTTTTCATAGTAAATCTAATGTTAATGTAGTTTCTAGCCCTCTTCCATCACTTGCATTTTACTTAATTGCATTTTGCCGTTGATTAGACCTACAGTCAGTAAAAGTAGTATTAATAGTAAAACATCAGAGTATTAAATCAGTTGTTTACGGGACATGGGAAGCATTATGTCCCAGTCACCATATGGCCATTTGGTTAAGACATTTGGTTTCTTTTTATGTCTCTCTTACACTATTCTCAATGTGCCATGTAGCTGAAAAAGTATTTAATGTCCCATAGGAGACAAGGGAGGAATGTTTTGCTCCCATGTCCTAATAAAGAAGGCTCCCTTCTAAGTGCCTACAGTGTTTTCTTGACCTGCGGTTTTACATAGTATTTTGTTGGATATCTCACAACAAGCCTCATCATCAGTAGAGACGTGCAGTATATGACTGTTTAGTTGTGAAGAAAATGGCTCTTTTTAAATTAATCATGTTCCTTAAGGTGTTTTGACATTTCTGCTGGTTATCAGCTGGTAAACACTTCAATGGGAATATGAGGCAGAAGATGACTGACAACAAGTTTTGCACCTGCAGCATTATAAATGATGCACATGATCCCAAATCTGTGTGTCTGTGTGTTTGACTTGACGCAGTATACGTGTGGCATGAGGGGTAGAGCTAGAGGCTGCAAGGATGAACCAAAGAACACACAGAGAGAGAGAGAGAGAGAGAGAGAGAGAGAGAGAGAGAGAGAGAGAGAGAGAACACACACACACACAGATTGGAGGAGAGGAGGGAGAGGAAAGGAGGAGGAGGAGGAGGAGGAGGAGGAGGGAATAGTGAACTTGCTCTCTAATCTGCCTGTCTAAGAGAAAAGGGGAGAGAAAATCAAGTCTGCTGTGTCGTAGAATGCCAGAGGAGGGGGAGTTTGTAATTACACAGGGAGAGAGGAGGGGAGGGAGAGGAGAAAAAGAGAGAGATGTCAGGGAGTTACAAACAGAGAGGCAGAGACGAACGGATAAAGGGAGGACATAACGAGAGAGGAGAAGAAAAGCGAAGGAACAACAGAGAGGGCAGTAAGAAGCTGAAAGTTTGTTCCTCAAATTTTCTTTGCTTCCCTGGATCTCCTGGATTACTGAGATTTACTCTGCAGGATTCTGTATGTGCATCCTTTCATAACTGGAGGCTTAGCATTGTGTCTTGCCTATATGCCTGTTTGCACGTGTGCAGTATTAAATAGCTGCGGCTAACTGAACTGGCGTGTTTGCACATTCATGCAAGACACAGATAGAGGATGGGAGCCCTTCGCCTCTCTCTTGCTCTCTTCCTCCTCCTCCTTCCCTTCTCTCCCGTACAAGCCCAGTGGTGGAGTTTCATCTGGGCGAGCCCTAAAACTGGAACCGGCTCTTCTCCTCCCTCCATTCCTCCCTCCACCCCCTCTCCATCCATCACCTCTCTGGGCCCTTCTGACACCCCAGGGACAACAGAGTGGATGGTAACAGAGGACGGGGTGATAGAGAAAACTCTGGAGGGTAACACTCAGACAGAGAGGTCTGTGCTGTCCCCGACACCAAACCCAGGGCTGTCAGTCTTTGGCCAGAGCACTGCAGAACCTTGGACCTTACCTCCAGGGGAGAACGCAGGTGGAGGCAGCAAAGCCAAGGTCCAGAACAAAGCACTGAAACACTGGAAGAGTGGTGAGTGTTACCAGGATGTTAAAGAGAGGAGGCATTTAAAACTTAATAATTTCACTTCAGACTTTTTCCAAACCGTTCTTAGAGGTCAGATCAGTCCAAACCAATTTGGTTTGTGACCCTTTAAAGAGAAGCAGTGTCTATATGCTACCTCTCATGTAAGCCATCTTATGTTGAGTTGCATTGTATTTCCCAGCATTGATTATTTTTTTGGTCCACTTTGGGCGGCAAAAACAAGCTGTAAACACAACATTTACTTATTAGCACTTTATAAAGTTGACAGAGAGCAACATTAGCATTGATTTGGAGTTGTTTGTGTCTACCTGATGAATGTATTTCCAATATCCACTCTCCTTTTAATTCTGTTTGGGTCTCTTTAGCTGCTAAATGCTCCACTATGTTACCCTGCTAGTCGCAAACTTTGTCTGTCTACCGTTTGGTGCTCGGCAGGTAGTGTAGGTTTATCTGAGCTTTTTTATTAAAAACAACTCCCTGTTACAAGTTTAATGAGAGTGAACTAAAACAGAAAAGTTGCAGGCTGTAAAACTAAAACAATTGGCCAGAAGACACTACAATGCTCCATAGAGCTAAACCAGGTAATAATTCTATGTGGGTTCTTCACTACGACCAACCTCTTTTACAATACACATAGTGATTAAACTACTGTAAATATAAAATACTGATTAGTGTACCTTTAAGTAAGACACTAAAAGGACTACTGTGTGGCATCTGATGGTAAAGACCTTAGACCCAGTGTTTGATTTGTCCGTCCTGGGCTACTGTAGAAACATGGCAGTGGCCGACTCAATGGAAGAGGACCCGCTCCTTCTGTAGATATAAAGGGGGCATTCTAAGCAAACGAAAACACAATGATTCTTATTTTTAGGTGATTATACACTAATGAATCTATGAATATTATATTCCATTTCACACTGTTACACACTGGACCTTAAACCTTGTGAGAAGAGAGATTTTTTACTCTCTACGGCTCTTACTAACCTACTATTGCTTTGTCAGTGGTTCAGTAGGTCATGTTGATGGCTGAAGGGTTCAGTCCCCTATATACACAATGTAATCTTTGACTCACATCTGATATCTTAACTCCTATCATGTCTTAGTGTATCTCACAAATCAGAACAGAATCCCCCATTTCTGTAGCGTGCTGGTATGTGACAGGCGTACCCTGATGTGCTCTCCATTAAATCTTTTAGAGCTCTGAGAAATCTAGAGAGAGTGGGCTGAGCAGGGGCGAGCTTTTGTGTGGCGCAGCAGGGTCGAGGTGGGTTTAAAAGGTTATACGTGGCAACGCTAGGGGGGTTGTTAATATTGTTTTTATAAGTCGCCACAAGCTGATCAAGAATCCATGAGGCCAACATGATGAGGATTAGGTTCAGGAGGAGGGAGTTAGAGTGGAAAAATGTGACGCAAAATGAGTGAGTTATTAGGTGACTGGCACACAGCTCCATTTGGTGTTTGGCTAAGGACATGAATGTGATGGACTAATATACTGTTTGATTGGCTTATTGGTTTGAACTGTCCTATTGATAGTCTGTGGAATAAGTCAACAAAGATATTTGTGTCACTGTGAATCATGTCAAAGTATCTACTTTTAAATCCACATCACATGATGTCATTACAATGGGATTTGACCACAGACCTTCCTGCCATCGTTACACGTGTGTGTGCATGTGGGACTCCAAACTAGTTTACTCAAGCACTCTACAGTTTTGAGGTATTGTACTTTACTTAAGTATTTTTATCATATGCAGTTTTATACTTCTATTCCACTTCATTTCACAGGGAAATATTTTACGCTGTACTCTAGTTCAATAATTTACTGTTGTAGTACAAGTTAGAGAGTAAGATTACACACACACATTTCACAGTTTTACAAACAAGATCCATTGTAGATTACAGTATGCTTAGTGTATCCCCTTTTTATTTTTACTTTAATTAGATTTACTAAAACTACCCTTGTATTTAGTTGGAGTACTTTCACTTGTAATTGAGCATTTTAACATGTGTTAATGTTTGCATTCATTTGGAGCATTTGGAGTGGACATCTGATGAATGTATGTCCAATATTCGCTCCTCTTTTAGCTCTGTCTGGTCTCCTGAGGTGAATGTATGGCTCTCGAGTCTCCGCTATGTCCCCCTGCTTGTTGCAAACTCTTTCTCTCTGCTGTTTGGTGCTGGGTAATCTACACAGGGTTTATCACCTTTTGCAAAGCCTCCTGCTTACTAAAATTTGTTTTACATTAAGCTTTTATGCCAAAAAAGAAAGAAAACAGCATGTTAAACCAGTTTGGCATTCAGCTAAATCCAGTTAAAGCTAGCTGTTGAGATTGGGTGAGATAGCTGCAGCTAGCCTTGGATAAAGCTAAATTTACTTACTTTTCCCCCCTAGCTGTTTCCTGTAATTGAAATATAGCCGTTTCAAATAACTGTCTCGGTAATTAAGTTTGTTATCTTACATAAATAGGTATCCGGTCATGAAGAATAAAAACAGCCAATGACGGTGCTAATCTAACTTAGTCCTGCCCAAAGGTAACTAGCCTAGCTTAGCAGAGTAGCAGTAGCTAACATGTCAGTTCCTGGCTCTACAGTGTGTTTGGTGTGGTAAAGCTACTTTTAAATCACACATTTAAGAGTGCTAAATTGTAAATTAATTTATTATATTCAATTATAATTGATGGATTGTTGTTTTTTTGTGGTAAAATAGTTATCTGGTTTACACAGATTACCCATTTAGCCTGAAATCTTCCAGGTAAAACAAGACTGGCATATTGTCACTGAGTCTATTTTTAACATTGGACTGACGCCACAAAATCAACTGTGTTTAGAGATTTCTAGTTTTTCTGCCCTTTCTCACCAACCCATACATTTGACCTCCCTTTTGGCCAGCAATAATAGTGTGATACCTTCCGTATCTTAAAATACTATCCAACTTGTGACCACGTTGCTGTTGCCAAGTCAGTCTCAGACCAGGTTCCAACAGTAATCTCAGCCATTAGTTTCAAATGTGTGTCACAGTGCAGGACTGAAAAGTTAAATCTGTGCAGTCAGTGGCCACGAACAGCACGCTGGTTGTAGCATGAGTTCTCCCAGGGCAGTCATTAAGTCATTACAGAGCACTAATGACTTCACATCTGGACTGGAGGTGTGAGGGATTTGTTGTGTTTGTGTGTATTTTGTATGCACATCTTGAGTGCCCACCTGTGTTTGCAACAATGTGTAAATGTGCAGAGATCCACTTTTAGTGGTGTGACTGGTACACGCACGCACGCACGCACGCACGCACGCACACGCACACACACACACACACACACACACACTCCTTAAACCCTCTAATCATGTATGTTTCCACTTGGTCAGGCTGATGAATTACAGACCCTCAAATGTTGGCCTGTCTGGTCTGGTCTGGGGTTTATGTGTGTTCACGTGGGTGAGATGTGCGTTTGATGTGTGTGTGTATGCAAATGCATTTCTATCTGTGTGCGTGTGTGTGTGTGTGTGTGCATGACAGAGATATAGGAAGCAGGGGTGAGCCTTGCAGGAATGCTGAGGTGAGAGTTTGTCTCTACGGGAGGTAGGTCTCATAGTGGGGGGAATCAAGGGAATGTGAAGCCATCTCTTCACATACACACTAAATACTCTAATTGCTAGCCATTGTGTGTGCATTTCTGTTTCAGAGGATTATGTCTATGCGGGGCAGAGCAGCGAGGCGTGGGCAGGCTCTGGATCAGATCAAGTCGAATTAAAGCCATGTCAAGATGATTGCGTTGCATCTCTTGCTTACTCTAATGTCTTGTATGAACCAGCAACACACAAGTAGCAAACAAAGGAAGCTGCCAGAGCAGCTTCTGTGCACCCTGGACATAAGGTTCACTTACAGGTGGATGTTTCGGTTAAGTAATCCCACTGGGGAAATAACAAGCAATAAGTAATATTGAAAAAGTGCTTATAAATCATGAATCTAAAAGGTCACATGAGAGAAAATAATCTGCATCAGGCTACACATCAGACACATGTAAAGAGCCATCTTTTAAGCATTTTGACATTGTTTCTGTCTCTGTCAGAGCGAGGCTCTGGAGGTCATCTGGACCTGACGGAGTTAATCGGTGTCCCCCTCCCTCCCTTCGTCTCCTTCACTCCTGGCTACGAGGGTTTTCCGGCCTACAACTTCGGGCCCGATGCCAACATTGGCCGGCTCACCAAGACCTTCGTGCCAGGTTCATTCTACAGGGACTTTGCCATCATCGTCACGGTAACGCTTGGGAATTGGTCTCTTCAACCTTTTAAACCTTCTTCATGCTGTCATTCTGTTTTTTAAAGGGGTCACTGTGGTTTTGAGTGCACTTGTCAAGATTCACTATGTGATTCAGACTAAACGTGCTATAAAGCACTGCATGTACCTTTTATTCTATGCAAAATAACGCTTTATGGTCAACTATAAAGTGACACTATGTCGCCACCTTGTGGAAATTTGATGATAAGGCAAGACGTCACATCCAGGTCCAGGTACTGGAACTTGTGAGGCACATATCACTGTATATGCCTTCTGGTATCAATGTAATCTTCATATAATGGGAGCAAGATCCCAAAACAATAAGCTTTAGCGACCTCTGATGTCGTCTGCCCGTACTCCAGGTGCGTCCAACCACTCGGAGAGGAGGCGTGCTCTTTGCCATCACAGATGCCCGTCAGAAGGTGGTGGAGCTGGGTTTGGCCCTCACTCCGGTGCGTGGGGGCCTGCAGAGCATTTTACTGTACTACACTGACAGAGAGCAAGCTTCCCACAGCCACAAAGCTGCTGCCTTCAGTGTCCCGGATATGACAGACCAGTGGACACGATTCACGGTGAGCGTTACATACACACATATATCACAAATGGTAGGATTCAAGGGATATATTCAACTTATACAGACATATTATTAAAAATGTTCTATACTCCACATCATCTAAAAATAGTTACATTATTAATTAATTTCTATTTTTTGCATATTGTATTTACAGTTGATAGGTATTGAACATTAACTAATATATTTGTTATATAGTGTCAGAAAGTATGAAGTATTGAGAGCTGACATCAAATGCTTTGTCAGACTTTGATCTGATATTTCTTACTGTAAATCTAGTCTAAATCAGTAAAGTTTTAACCCTAGATAAACTGCTTGCCAAGATCATCAAGACATTTGCATTTCTAAAAAGTGTGAAATCAGTACTGGCACTGCATGGTAGTTTCCACTGCAAATCAGAGAATTGTAGGTGTTGTTTGTTTTGAGTTAAAAGCAATTTCGAAAAATTGAAATATAGCTTGGTCACCATTTGTGTTAATCTGTTGTTTTTTTATTTTATTTATTGCAATGCATTCACTCACTCTTTATTTACTTTGACAATATTTCCCCCTCCAAAAAAGTATCAAGATAAATCTTTGCAACTGTTTCTCAAAAATGTAAAGGAAAAAAAGCTATTTTTTTGATGGCAACTAGAAATTCAATCATAAAACACTACAATAAATGGGTTTATTTGATCTGTTTGTCAGCTGGTGGTGGAGCATGAAGAGGTGCGTCTCTATATGGACTGTGGAGAGGCCGAGAGGACCACTTTCCATCGGAGGCCAGAAAGACTCAACTTCTCACACAATTCAGGCATTTTCGTGTCTAATGCTGGAAGCACAGGGCTTGACAAGTTTGTGGTAAGAGAAGAAATCCTCTGAATATACAGTAGGTGTGTCTGTTTTTGTGTCCTTTGGAGGACAGAGAGTTTTTCTCTGTGAAAGAAGGAGAAAGAATGAGACAGGCTGCATGTGTCAATATCTGTGTGCAGTTGGTCTCAGAATTCCATGTGCTTGTGTGTTCTGGCCTCTCATTACCATGTAAAAGAGCTGACATGTCGTCTGCCCTCGGCCCATCTCCTCTGGAGACTTCCCAGCATTCAGTCTACTGACTAGTTTATGTTTTGACCAAATTCTAGCACGAAGAACTTGAAACTTAAAAAAATGAAAATGTAAGCTACCGGAAAAGCTGCATGTGAATATTTTCACCATTAGCCATTTTGATGAGTGCAGTAAATGTAGGGATATAAATGAAAGTGACATTTTATGACTCTACAATGTCATGATCACATCTAATACTGCTTCCTGAGCTGGCTCAGTTACAGACTTTACTGGATAAAACTTTGAGGATCAGACACAGAGAGGAAGTATTAGAAGGGAGGAAAGAAAAGAGATGGAGGTGGAGGAGGAAGGGAGAGGGCTGAGATGTGGAAGGGAGGAGAGGACGGGGGAGTAAGTTGATGGCAGATGAGGAAGTCAGCGATGTCCACAAGGCTTAGTTGTGGTCCGATTAAGGGGCTTGACTCAGGCCTTTGAGCGTGTTGCTATGTCAAATATGATGGTTCCAATTAGGATAAACAAAAATCTGTGTGAAATCACAAGGCTGAATTAATGTTGTTCTTTGGTCAACGCACTTTTTTCAACGCAGCCAATTTCATATGAAATATTAGGGTAAACACAGGAGTTACAAATTATACGAATTAGGTTTAATTTCAATCAGGTCAACATGGTGCTGCTACTGTGCATGTTGGCTCATCAGTAAGGCTCTGCTACACTAAGTGGAACCTTAATTAATTTCATAAGTTAAAGCTGCAGTAGGGAATTTTTATAAAAATATTTTTTGTCATATTTGCTGCAACTTCCACTATATCCTGACAGTTGCACATAAGACAGATAATCTGTGAAAAAATCCCATTCCTGTGGCTCCTCCTAGTGCTCCTAATGGCATTTACCTCCACCAGGCCTGAATAAAAACAACCAATCAGAGCCAAGAAAGATAGTTGATTGTTGAGTCTCCTTCCCTGGGCATCAAATACAGACACTTCGAGACCCTGGAAATTTTACTCAGCAATCAACTATGTTCAAGCTTCCAACCCAAAGCGTCTTTATATCTTTCTCAGCTCTGATTGGTTGTTTTCATTCAGGCCTGGTGGATTCATGCAAATGAGGGAGTGCTAGAACGAGCCATAGGAACCTGACTTTTTCACAGATTATCCGTCTCATGTACTACTGAAAATTACCTACTGCAGCTTTAAACCTGTGTTTACCCTACTATTTTATGTCAATATGGCTGCTGTGAAAAGGAATGACAGCTCACTGTGTTCTGTTCTACACCGAGCACTCAGACTCTACTAAAACTATTCACACTGGCATTATTACTGGAATCACTGTCGGTCTGTTTTCAATCCAACAATGCTCACAAATACGAGCTGCTATAGTGACTTGTCGTTGCCATGGTGAGCGGCCATTCCAACTTTTATCTGCTTTGTTCAGCATAGCCTGACTTTGTGAACGGGTTATCTGAACCATGACCACAGAATATGTGCATGTTCGGCATCAGTCATGTCCAGTCTGAAATATCTGGGTCACTCTGTTTGTGTGTATGTGTCTTTGGTTTGTTGTCTTGGGGTTCAAAGGAGAGCCGTAATGACATGGGGCCCTGTTTAGCATGCCTTCCTGTGTGAATGTTAAATGGCTTGAATGTTGACCCAAATATATTGACATTTGTCTCCATGTCCCCATCAAGCTATATAATATGGAACTATTACTACCATGCTGTGAGTTTGAGTGATGTGCATCATGTAAATCTGGTCTCTATAGTGATATCAGCAAGTAAACTGTACTTCATTGTGTGTGTGGTGCTCCTGTGTTTAGAGCCAAATAAGAGCCAAATAATTTATTTCATTACAGCACTTTTGGTTGTTTGTGTTTATATACCGCATTAATCACTTTCATGCAGCTTTGGGTGCGCCTTGGGCATTCCTCCATCTGGTTACCTATGCCCACCCTGCAGTGGCTCTTTGCCCACCAGTTTGAAAACGACTGCTTTAGAGATGTGTTCTTGATGACAGTAACTGAATGAAAACAAAGTTCTTGTCTATTTAAACTCTCCCAGACAATATGATTTTGGGTATAGGACTGCAATTTTTATGAATTATGGATTCATCTGCTGATTATTTTCTCCATTAATCAGATTGATTGATTGATTGGTTTGCACATTGAGAAATGCCATCAGAATTACCCAGAACCCAAAGTAACACATTCACGTTAAGGTTTATGTTTTTTTTGTTCATGTTGTAAATAACTGTCCAAACCTCAAAAAAATTATTACAAATAAGTTTAAATTACTTAAAGGATTCAAGGGGTAAACAGAGAATCCTTATATTTTGAAGCTAGAACCATGAACTGTTTTGTACAGTTATCAAAATGGACTTACTGACTAATAGTTTCCACTTTATTGTCTGGTCTTTTTAAAAAATACATTATTACATGATTTTATACGTTCTTAGTGTGTGTTCTGTGTGAAAATGAAAGTATCTAGTAAATAAAGCTGTAAATAAATAAATGTAAAAAAAATATTTCCCAATATGTAGTGAAGTAGAGATAGAAAGTGGCATGAAAACAAAAAAGACTCAAGTAAAGTACAAGTACCTCAATTTCTCCTAAAGCACAGTACTTGAGTATATTTACTCAGTTACTTTCTAGATTAAGATGATAGTTCAGTGTATGCATTATACGTGTATAACCCACCCAAGGTTTTCAGAGGACTCTCTCTCTCTCTCTACCTCTCTCTCCAGGGATCCATTCAGCAGCTGGTGATAAAAGATGATCCCAGAGCAGCTGAGGAGCAGTGTGAGGACGACGATCCCTATGTGAGAAACACACACATACACACAGGAACCCACTGTTAAAGACAAAACTGGAGTTTTTGAGATCGATAATAGAGAAATAACATACACATGAATCAACAGTACCCCCTAGTGGTCAACTGATTTCACTCAACATAAATGGTCCTCTTACACTTCAGCAGTAATCTGACAACCTGATGTTTTTTCCTGCCCTCTGTATATGTTACAGTTCCTACATTGAGTATTTGCAGCTTACTTGCATACTGTGATATTTGATAAAGGCCTCAGGATACACCAGTGGAGACGATGCTCTGGATGACAGAGAGACAGAGGAGGAAATGGTGAAGAACACACAGAAGATGAAACATGGCACAGAACGGGTAGGTTTGCTGAGATAAAGTGCAAGAAAGTTGTGTTTCCTTTGCCAGTTGAAAGAATATGGTGATCCTGAAAAAGAGATGTACTGGATGCATTCATTTAGTCTGTTGTGCGTGTGCGTGTGTGTGTCAGCTTGTTGTGTCTACTGCTGTGTTTGATACAAACCCCCTTGCTTATTAACCCTGAAACAGCAGTTTGTGTGTGCGTTTCTTCTTTGTTCCGCTGCCATGTTTTATTCTCCCACAACCAAGAAGTCAGTCTGACCCCAAACATCCCATAATCAACAGTGACTTTGAAGCTTCAAAGTAAACAGTCCTACAGAAGCTGGATAAATGTTACCAGATATTAGAGTCATGGTAGTATAGATGCTTTCTCTCTGGTCTGGAGACGTTCAGCAGCAACAGTGTTGCACAGACAATGTCAGATGATTTGATATTTTTCAGATTCTGTATTTTGAATTCAGCTTTTTCAAACTCCTGGAAATTGAATAAAATTGGCCAAATATCCTAGAATTAATCTATGTTGTCTTGGAAAATTTTTATTGTTTTTTAGCCCATCACTCAGATCCCCTACGTAAACCTGGGTTAGAGGAAACTGTAGTAATCTATAGTCAAATTACCGTAGATGCTGCAGAAAAATTGAGTGAAAAGTGAGCTAACACAAGTGTCCCATAAAAGCTGTAATGAACCTGGGTTAAAGGTGTCAGTACTCAGCCTACCAGTAAATTACATGACCGTTTGTGAGCAAGTGCTGTCCTGTATTGTCAAGAAAGATCCTGGATAATGATTTCTTAAAAAGAGTGAGAACCCTTAAACGTGTGAGCCATTAACCCACTCATCTTTTTGATTTCTTTGAGGAGGAGGACAGTGTTCCGGTCAGAGCTCCACCCACCGAGGCTCCAGAGGTGGAGCTTGATGAGTACTCCGGTCACCAGACCCCCACAGAGGCCAGTGAGATACTGAGAGGTCAGAATGAACCTCAGTTTTTCTGTGTTCTTCTTTAGGAGATAATTTAACCTCTATGATTTTATCAGTGTGTATAGCAAACACACTTTACTGTACTTACAGTTCCTTGGCAGTGTCCATTTCTGGAACATTTGATATTTAATAGAGATTTTGTACTAAATGATCTACATCAGTGCAAAGAACAATTCCTACTGTATCTATCTGTACTTAAGGCAGTGGTTCTCAAACTTTTTCAGTCATTCCCAACTTTGGACAAGGGGGAATTTTCAAGCCCCACCTGCCCCCATCGCCCCAACACAATGCTAATGAAATACGCAACAAGCTTAAAATGTTCCAATTTATTGAAGTAACAAGTAGTATCAGTATAGTAACAAGTTGTATCTAAATACAAACTAACTATCTACATCAACTAACAGCAAGTTCAAAAATAGAGAAAATAAAAGTGCAGCTGTGTCAAAAATGTTATCAAGTTCAAAAATAGAAAATAAATAAAAGTGCCACTTTGCAATCTGTTAAAAAAAGAAAAGAAGAGAAATCCATTTGGCAAGACAGGTCTATTTATCCCTGCATTAGTGGCTGCAATGAGCCTGTTTTGCATTGCACAATATCTCAAAGCGGGGTTGCAGGCTTGATACTGCCACTCTCAAGTCATGCTCAATGTTCAGACGAGATCTGTACTTTGTTTTCAGTGAAGCAACAGCTGAAACTCCAAACCAGAATTCACTAAGAGTCTGAGCTTTAAACCTGAGCCTCAGGGTGGAGTCAGATGTCATCTCAATAAACTGGTCCTCCTCAGCAGACCTAAAATCAGCAGGTGCTGCAGACAGAATATAAATAAATAGGCTTACTTTATTTGTCATTGCATAATAAACACAAAGAAATCTGTTTGACAACAATCCATTCCAGTTAGTAAGTAGCATACAACATAAATAAAATGCATGTATAATATATGAGTATAATATTCAATAAAATGTCAAAATACCAACCTGCTGCATTGAATGGATCTATAACCCAGGCATACTGAGCACTGTTGTTTGGGAACTATTTTTGAAACAATCCTCTCAGGGAAGAGATGTGCTGCTTAATACATGGGATCACTGCGGTGGCTCCAGAATCAGTGGTTCAGCAACTTCACTCAGGTTCTCAAAGACATCTATGTTTTGCTGATCGAGGCGCCTGCCCCATACCTCAAGCTTTCGGGGGAATGCAGTGATCTTGTCTGCCAGGTGAGGTAGGTGCTTGTCTTTGCCTGGAAGCTGAAGATTGAATTCATTCAGCTTGCCAAACACATCGCTGAGGTAGGCCAGTTTAAACAGAAATTGTTCATCACTGAACTTGCTTGCAGCCTCACACATGCGCTCCTCCTCCAAGAACATCCGAATCTCTGCCCTGAGCTCAAAGACGCGCGACAGCACATTGCCACCTTGCTTCACTGTGAAACAGCACTGATGTGTGATCAGCTCCCATTTCCTCACAAAGTGCGGAGAACAGTCGCGCTTTCAGGGGTCGGGGTTGGATCAAATTTACCACGCTCACAACTTCTGTCAAAACCTCATTTAGTTCAGGGCTGAGCTGCCTTGACACAGTGCGCATCTGGCGCAACCCTCTTTATTAGCGCCTGCAGCCCGTTTCTTGACCCTGCCATGTGTGTGCGCCATCAGAGCAAAAGCCCACACAGTTTTCCCATTTCTCCCGCATATTAATAGCGGCTCCTTGATGCCCGCAAATGAGATCCAATCTCCCGCAATCTGGAGCAAGACCCCGCACTAGACTAGAGAGTGACTGCGCATTTGAGAACTGCGGGCTTAATGTTTTCATTAGCTACCTCAACAGGGGCAGTGGGGGCCTAGAGCTTAGAGAAGCAGGCTTGTGATCCGTTTGATGTCAGGGCTAGTATCTGGGTCCAGGAAATGAAAGAGTAGCTCATCTTCTTTGGCTCTAGCGAGGTCCTCTTAAAGGGACAATCACCCCAAAATTAAAAATACATAATTTTTCCTTTTACCTGTAGCACTATTTATCCATTTAGATTATTTTGACATGAGTTTTTTTTTCTCTCCAATATAATGGAACCAGATAACACTGAGCCTGTGGTGCTCAAAGTGCAGAAAGAAATACATTTGAAAAACTCAGCAGCAATGTCTCTTTCCAGAAATGATGACCCTGTTAATCAAGATAATCCAAAGACCTTGTGAGCAGTTTCATGTAGGAACTATTTTCTTTCTACCAAACTACACCCACCAACCGTAGCTGAACGATAACTGTCTCAGTGGTGCTAGGTGAGCTGGCTCACGTTACAGACGAGGAGGACACCATTAACGTTTACATCATGCGCTGTCACAAGCCTCTCATCCATGTTTCATTCTGGGCACTGATACATAGACAGAAAATCGTTCCCACATAATACTGCTCACAACAAGGTCTGTGGATTATCACGGGTCATAACCAGGTCATTTTTTCTGGAAACAGACATTGCAGCTGAGGTTTAAAATGTCTTTTTTTGGCATTTGAGCTCCACAAGCTGAGTGCCATCTGGTTCCATTATGTTTGAGATATCTACGGCTGATATCACCAAAACTCTGCAACTCGCACCAAATAGATGAATAAATAGCATTTTATACAAATTTTTTATTTTGGGGTGAACTCTACCTTTAAGTAAGGCACATTGCAGCTCTACTACAGTGATGCTACCAAAAGATCATTATACTAGTTAGAGCTGCAGTGGGTCATTTTTTATATAACAAACTTTTTCTCATTATTGCTGAAATTTTTACTGTGTCCTGACAGTAGTAGTGTTTTTTTTCACAGAATATCTGTTTCATGTACTACTGTTGGTATATAGTGAACGTTTCAGCAAATATGACAAAAAATTACTTTTAGAAAAGTTACTTACTGCAGCCTTAAATGAAGATCAAAAAGCCAGTTCCTACAGTTGTAATTTCTTAGTTCATACTGATAAAAGCAGATGATGAAATGTTTTTTAGAAGCAGCAACATACAATAAGATGCAGCAAAAAATGTTTAATGAATATTAGAGAACCAGCATCATGAACTCAGAGATTTATAAAATGATGGCAACACAAACACCCTTTATAAATATTGCTTTAAGTACTTAAAGCAATATTTGGCAATTTGGCTCTGTGATTGTCTAAAATCATCTGTTACAGCACATTACACGTTACAGTATGGCCAGTGTTACCTCATACGTAAGAATCTGATTGGTCATACCTGTTGGTGATGTCATATGCTATATCCACAGGGCCACACCGGACAGAGGAGCCAGGGGAGAGGTCAGGAGATGTGAGTTCAGACCTGTTACTTCAAATATTATTATAATAATATTATTTAGGTATCAAATATATTTCAGATATTCTGGACAAATGTCTGTGTTCTTTACAGAAATAAATGGTACATGAGTTTCATTTGAATTTCCAGGGTCATGTCAGGCATGGGTCAAAAGGAGAGCGTGGAGATCCTGGACCCAGAGGCCCACCTGGCCCACCAGGCCCCACCCCTCTGCCTGGGCAAACTCAGCCTGGACCAAGAGGGACACAAGGGCCACCAGGAATCCCTGGATCCCCAGGACTGCCAGGGAGAGATGGACAGCAGGTGTGTGGGTTTTTGTATTGCCATCATTTTATAAATCTCTGAGTTCAGAACCTTTAGCACTAATCCCAAGTCCTTCTATCATCACAGGGAATCAAGGGTGAAAAGGGAGATCCAGTAAGTTATTCATCTCTTCAGTTCTCTCTTTCTTCTTTGCTCTGCTTTATATCACATGACTGAAGTGTGTTTTTACATCCAGGGTCAGAAAGGATCTCAGGGTTTTTCAGGTTTGGATGGAGGAGCGGGAGCTAAAGGAGAGAAGGTATGTTTAAAACGCACATCGTCACACTGACAAACCTATTACAAGTGGTAGGCTCTTCATTCAAAATACATTCACTTTTATTGTATGTCACCAAATGTACTGCAAGAGACAGATCTTCCTCCTGCTTTCCCTCTGTACAGGGAGACCAAGGAGCTGGTTTACCAGGCCCTCCCGGACTCCCTGGGCCTCCTGGACCCCCCAGATCACGCAGTGTACCAGTGAGTATCACAGTTTATGGTCTTATTATGTATATTTGTTTGTACACATAGCATGCACTCATCATATTATGCTGCATTTTTTAGTGATGAAATGAACACGTACTAAATGTAGATGAGGGTCAAGTGAAGCATCAGAAACATCTGCGTGTATGCATTGTGTTTATCTGTGTTACAGTACGGAGCAGATGCCCTGGGTTCTGGGTTTGAGGACCTGGACAGTGACACTGAACTCATCAGGGTAAGAGAAGGGCTGCAGAGAGAGATGGGATAGTCTGATACACGGTGATCACGGTGCAAAAAATAAAACTTCCTTTTCTATCAGGGTCCTCCTGGTGTACCAGGGCCTCCAGGACCGCCTGGTCCCCCTGGACCCAACCTGTCATCATCTGACACAGCCGAAGGCTTTACTGTATGGAGTGCTGGACCACCCGGTGCCCCTGGCACAGACGGGCTCCCAGGCAAACCTGGTCTACCAGTAAGTTACTTTAATATATAGACATACAGTATTCAACTTTAAATTAATTTATGATAATGATAATGTTTTAATATGTTTATATAATGTGAGCACAGCATTGGCTATACATGCCTGGGTGTACATGTATTAGATAATTGTGAGGCTAAATATTACACTGACTGGTTCTGAGCATCCATCAGGTCTCAAGTCTGTATTCACTTAGAAAGAGCAGCCACAATAACATTACATACACAGATTGAAGGCATAGGAAATGAAAAGCATAAATAAAAGCTGTTGGAAAGTTTGAATTCTGTAAAAAAAAAAAAAAAAATTCAATGACACTGACATTTGAATGATGTGTGTATTGCCTTTCCCTTTATGTTTTACTCGTGGTGTTCCTGTATTTCTGTCTTTGTTATCATTATGTGTGTGTCTATTGTCTCATCCACCTTTTTAGTCTCTGCTTTTATTCAAATTTAGTTTTCTCTATTTCCAATTAAAATTCACCTTTAGTTTGTTTCTTCCCCCATCCTCATTGTTCCTTTCCACCTCCTGCCACCTCTTCCTCTCCTCCCCGCTCTGTTGCAGATGTTTGAGGATTTGTTTAGTGGTTCGGGGTCTGATGGCTCAGGTTTGAGCTCAGAGTTGTCCTCTGACCTCAGCTCAGGCCTCGGCTCTGGGTTCAGCTCTGGGTTCAGTTCTGAATCCAGTTTTGCCTCTGCTTCTGGGTTTGACTTTGGGTCTGCTTGGGGTTCAGGCGAGGTATATTGTCCTGGTTTGCCGGGTAAACCAGCAAACAATTAAAAGGCAGAATTACAGTCCAGAGCCTGAGTATTGAGGAAGTGTAAGTCTCCTCTACGTATTTGAAAAATATTAAATGTTAATCTGAGACAATCACAGTGTTTTATTCATATCAGCTGTGCTTTAATATCATTAAAACAGTGACACACAGGTAAAGACTGTAGCTCTTTTCCCCAATGCTCAGGGCTAATGACTGTACATTATCTCCAACCATGTTGTCTTAATTGCTGGCTGGCAGCAGGCTAAACTGCAAACGTTACTGTTACCTAGCTGGCTGAAGTGCTGTGTGTGTGTGTGTGTGTGTGTGTGTGTGTGTGTGTGTGTGTGTGTGTGTGTGTGTGTGTGTGTGTGTGTGTGTGTGTGCACGCGCTTGTCAGTTACTTTCAGTTCATTTACTTTCAGTTCAAATGTTGTCATTACCAACTGAAACATTTCATGGTAAAGTGAATGAACTAAAGGGAGCTGACCTCAGACTTGCTGTATAACCTCAGCTTGAGCTGCCATTTTGCTTCTGTCATACAACATGGTAAAGGAGCAAATCTGCCTTTTCACTCATCTACTTTAAGGTCTCTTGTTGTATATTGCTGTATATTGCCTGTTCTCAGTCAATGCAAAGTACCAAGGCATACTGAAATGCTCCCATTTTACCCAAACTCAGTTAGTTCATTTATCACACAGTTAATTTCTAACATATTAGCTTCATTTCCCAACCTGGGGGTCCTCACTAGGGGTCGCCAAAGCTTTACAGATTCTTGATTTTAAGCCGTGTGAGATACCTTGTTTTTAGTTAAATATACACTTGTCCTATATCTCAGCATCTCATTTATTTCTGTCAAGAAAACTAAACAAAATTATTATTTAATATTATTTAAGATATAAACTTGAATCTCACAAGATATGGGCACTGTGAAGACCTGAACACAAGCTACATTCACAGAGCCTTCACTCTCTGCTAAACAGTGGATGTTGGATGGAGAGAACAGGGTGACCGGCCCACCAGTAGCTGGGTTTGTGTAGACCTTTTTAGTAGCCAATAATCTATGAGCCATGTGTCAGCAGTTATTACTTCATTGTGCCTTGGTACAGGCCTCTGGTACACTATGTTTCTCAGTTGGTACAAAAACATTGTACAGTAACATTGCTGTACTTTGGTCTGATGCTGCTTACAAGGAATACTCTAATTTTTAATAAGATCAGTTCCTGAAAACAGACGACAAAATCATCCCTGCCTCTAAGGTTGCTGACTTCACTGCTTCATGTTACATCTCAGCTGATTGACAGTAAGCAATATGAGCAATAAGCAGTACATTTAAATTGAAAAAAGTCCGTTTTGTGACTGTCAGTTGGTAAAATAATAACTAATATGGGATACCACAACACAATTGGTTTTACTTGAAAGTGACGCTTTTTGAACAATCACACATCTATACCAGCATGAGCATGATGATGCAGTGAGGGTAAAGATCTTTCGTTCACTCAGGAAAATGTTGGCATGGATGATCTTACAACTTAAGGAAACTGACTGAGTATTCCTTTTAAAGTGACTAATCTTCATCTTTGGATTTGGCGTTGGTCCCTGTTGGAATGGCTAAAGGGTCAACAAACAGCTAAGCATCATATTGCTGTTGTTTTTCTATACTAGCATGTTCTCATGACTTATCACAGTTTTCTGTCTACCTCTACTTGTGTCTGTCTGTATTTGTGTGTCCAGGGCCTAGCAGGAAGAGATGGGGCTCCAGGTCTACCTGGAGCTGTGGGAGAGAAGGTATGATCGTCAAGATGGATTGTGTCCTGGCCTCAGTGGGCAATATCAAAATCACATAGTCCATCCCCGTTTTGCCTGAAACATCTTTTCCATTAAGATAAAGCATTTACGCTAACTGCTTTATCAGCTGCTATTGTTGTTTGAGTAAACAGTCACTCCTCACACACACACCAAGCATTAAACCACGCCTGTAGATCATGCTGTAGCTGCCAGTAGTTCCTCATGGGACGCTGATTGATCCGGTACCACTGTGGGTCAGACACAAGTGCATGGTAAGATGGATTCTCTTGTGAGCTCTCAAGTCCAGGCACGCAAGCTTAATGAATACTATACTATACATACAGCTGGTTTGATGCCCATGTTCCATCATATATGGACTGCCTCTATTTATATTGATCTTATACGGTCCACCATTGTTAAATAAAAGTGCTCCCTCCAGAGGTAATATTTATTTTATTTCTTCCTTCTTTACATCTTTAGGGTGACCAAGGGTTACCTGGGCCATCTGGACCAAAGGTAATATACCACTCAACAGCCCAAAAAAGCTAGCTGCACACAATGTGCTTTTATATTTTATTTCCTATATTGAGCATGTTTCAAGTTAACAAGGCAGTTTTTGCAAAAACTAATTTCCCATTTCTCTTTATCTCTGCAGGGTGAATGTGGGACAGTGGGTACACCAGGGCTCTCAGGGCCACAAGGGCCTACTGGTCCACAGGGCAAGAGAGGCTCATCAGGTCCCCCAGGACCACCTGGCCCCCCCGGACCTCCAGGAACCAAGTTCTTTGTGGAGGTGACTCAAAGGAGCAAAGGAAACCTTCCTCCCCACATGGGTCTACAAGATTTCAGTTCAGTAACATGTGACTTTACGTTTTCAGGATATGGAGGGATCTGGGAAGAGTGACATGCTCATTGGAGCTGGAGGCAGAGGCCCACAGGTCAGTGCAAGAGTGTGTGTGCTTGTATGTAGACTGTATATATTGTTTCATATATAGTAAGGTTTTCTGTTTTGTTTGGTTCCAGGGACCCCCCGGCCTACCTGGCCCACAGGGACCTATGGTAATACATTTATTAAAATCGATTAAATGTACTCATTATTATTAGCTTATTGAAAATACCACTAACTACTACAGCATACAGTCTGTATGGTTCCTCTTGCTTTGTATCGCTCCTTCTTGCTCAGTAGTTGAAGATGCTCTTATGTTTTCCACAGGGTGAGGACGGAGCCACAGGTGCTCCAGGGCTCTCCGTAAAGGTAAACTGATTCTATGCTGATGAAAGGGCTGCTTTAGATTTTTATGTCAAATAGAGCACTGAAACAAACAGTGAAATATGCCCATGAAAAGCATTTCTCATGAATTATGAAAGAATCAAATATTTCAATTTAAAAATGACTAACAAACAGACTACATACTATGTAAGCAACCCCAGTTAAACATGTGAAACAGTGAAATCACTTGTGCTCTGTTCAACCTTTGTGTCTCTGTCTATGCCATGTGGGACTGCAGGGTGAGCCAGGGGACCCAGGACCAGAGGGTCTTCAGGGTCCTGCTGGACTACCAGGTGCTAGGGTAAGTAGCAGGTGTTTACACAACAATTGTGCATATGATTTGCAATTATTGGCTCCAAAGTAGTTTGTTCACTCATACCTGAAATGGCTCTTATTGACAAATAAATATATATAATAAACTGATGATATGGACAGATGTAGAAATTAACTCATACTTATCCTGCACACTTTAGAATCACTGGTTGTGGTAATGAAAATAGAAGGTCACAAATGTTAAGGCAGTAATATACATTCTAGCATTTGAATGGGTAGTGGTAATCTTACAGACAACGATAGTTCCAATCAGTGTTGGCAGTAATGGGGTTTATAATTTCTATAAATTCTGTAATTATGCTTTTGGAAAACTGTCTTGTTTGCTGTTTTAGGACTTTAATTTCTGTGCATTCAGATTAGATGTCCAACTAGAAGATAAAAGCAAAAAATACTAGAAGCAAAACTAGAAGCAGTTGTAAACAGCGAACACCATAAACGCCTTGAATGAGGCAAGGAAGGTAACAAGAGTGCTAGTAGAAAGTAGAAACTCTCCCAGCAAATTGGTGACATCCATTCATTTGTTAATCTATTTGTAAGCCGTCTTTGAACTGGTGAATGTTTGTATGGTGTATCCTGCCTGGTACGTTACAGCAATGAACTGGCTACACTGTTCACAAAGAGTGTGATAATATGTGAAAGACATTACTGAACTGACACAAATACTTTTTATTTCTCTTTACTCTAAAATCAGGGGGCCAAAGGAGAAAAGGGCAGTGCAGGACCAAAGGTGGGTCTGCTGAACATAACATAATGTGTGAATAATAATATCTGACTAATGCAGTCTGCGCAGTGTGGTAGCTGGATGTTTAGCGGCTATATTCGACATTCTTGTAATAACAATGTACCAAATGACAATGTGAAAGGGGTTACAGTGTTCATTGTTCAGCTGCCCATAGCGTTGTTTTCAGCCGCAGGCAGCTGCTTTCAGAGAACAGTTAGTAAGTAGCTGTGAACATAGTGGAGCATTTAGCAGCTAAAGAGCCAGATATTTGCCTCATAAGTACAGAGCTAAAAGAGTGAATTTTGGACTGTTATTTATCAGGTAGGCTTCCTTCCAAGCCAGATGGTCCAATTTTTGTTTTTATTTTAATTTTAATAAAGGACTAATACATCTCTGTTTTGTGTTCTGAAGGGTGATCGAGGCGCTGATGGACTGAGTATACCAGGACCACCTGGGCTTCCTGGACCTCCCGGATCTATGATTAATCTGCAAGATGTACGCACGCACATATACACACACACATCAAAGAGGATTTTTTTTTCCTGAAATTCTTTTGTGTTACCTCCCAACTCACAGGGACATTCTCAGATGACTGAGACATGTTTTTTCCTGCGATGCCACAGGAAGCCCAATTTACTGAATAATTCTACAAATCTCTGAATATGTAAAACATTCTAACAGTCCCCAAACTTACTCATCACATATTCTGTGTGCAGCTGCTCCTCAATGTTACGGATGGTATCTTCAACTTCACAGAGATCAGAGGACCACCAGGGCCCATGGTGCGTAACACTAAGCTATTATTGCAAAGTGACAATGTCTTTTACAGTACTATAACATTTTACTGTAATTGTACCTACGATATAGCAATATAACCCTTGTATCACTCCACAATATACTTTACTATAGCATCATCAGTGCATTTTCGAAGTGCTTTGGCTGCAGTTGTGTTCGATGATGCTGTGTATGAGCATGTCATTTCTGCCTTTGTCAAAAAGGTCATTAATCGAGTCCTTCTGCTTTTGCTTGCATTTGTGTTGATGTCTGTACATGCATGCATGTATGTGTATGTATGTATGTATTTATGTGTGTGTCTGCGTGTTGCAGGGCCCTGAAGGCTTGCCTGGCAGAGCTGGATTTCCTGTAAGAGCATTTTGCAATACCACCTTATGCTAAACATTTGTGTCACCTGTAGACTGACTTCAGAGAAGTGTGTACATGAAGATTTAACAGTTTACAGTAAAGATGCAACAATTATTTGAAAGCAATGTAATTTTTTCTTTCTTCCAATTTTGCTTTTGCTGTCTTTGGGCTAAACATGGTAGGTACCCGCAGTGCTGCAAATGTTATTGTGAAGGAAGGTGTTTTTTTTCCTTTTAGGTTATTTGAATAGAATTGAGAAGACCCTTTAAAATTTACTTCAGAATTTACAAGCTCCACAGCCTTCCTCCTAAAATCCTATCATCCTCGCAAAACTCTTCCTCACTACCATTTCATTCCTCCTCAGGGCCCCAGGGGACCAAAGGGAGACGTGGGCCCTCCTGGTACCCAGGGGCCAGCAGGGTTCAAGGTGAGAACTAGACCCCAGAGTGATGACAGAGCTACTCCGAATGCGTATAATGATTTTAACATATATGTCACTTCTAAAAACAAAATAAATGTTGAACTGTAACAGTTGAGACAAGGAGGCCCCACTGTACATGCAGAATAATATAAACATTCAATGTCTCTTTCTTTGCATTAACAGGGAGAAAAGGGAGAGCCAGGGGTGACCATTGCTGCTGATGGATCCATCTTATCAGCACCAAGAGGCCCCCAGGGTCCCAAAGGCAGCAAGGTACCACACAAGTGAACCTATTTGACAGCTTACTCAGTGACTGATGCTTACCACAGTGGTCAGTGACAGTAAGATGATGCCTCCAATAAATAAAGCCTGAATCCTTACACCACACATAACTGTACCTGCGGTCTGCCTGCACAGCTGTATATCAGCAGGTCCTGTGTGCGCACTAGCTAATCTACATCAATTAGTAGTTAGCTTGTTACATCTGAAAGCTAATGTTAGTTTGCTAGCTATTTAGCTCGTGTTTTAACTTGTGACTATATGAATATGTCGCTTTTATCTTTTAACCGTCTTCCAGATTTGGTTGTCTTAAGACGAGTCTAGCTCATAACATATCTAAACACAGTAAAGGAGAATGTTGACTGAGGTTCCGACTGAGGCACGCTCAACTGTTATTGGAGCAAAAAAGGGGCGGGGCTTAGGAAGGGTCAATTGTTTCCTGCTATCTATTAAGGGTGACTGTTACAGTATTCTGGATGAAGAAGTCATTTAGACCTACAACCATAGAAACTAGTCTTTGAAAACATGTTCATTACTGCCATTAATGTAAATCTCAACCTGTACTGCTCTGTAATGTCATAGGGTGACCGTGGGTTCGCTGGACCTGCTGGACTTATGGTGAGTTCATATTAAATAGAACATGAATTTATAATTTACCAGTGTTTTATCATCTGTAAAATCATGTTTCATGGACAGCCTATACACAACCTTCTTTATTCTTATTGTTTTGAACTACTGGGAGAAACTGTTTAGTGAGGGAATATAAATAATGTGTACGTCACTGTCTTTGTGTTTATTTCAGGGCCCAATTGGACCAAATGGACAAAAAGGAGAATATGGCTTCCCCGGTCGCCCAGTGAGTGCCTGTTTGTTGTATTCTTGTCAGTATATGAACATCCGCTTTGTAGGTACAGAGTCTACTGAGGCACTGGTACTCAAAACTCAATGCAAGAATGAAATGTACAGTATTTCTTAGTGCTAAGAGAAACCTTAGTTATTCATTTGTAAGTAGCTTTTAAGTGAGGAACCTTCCACACTCCCCATTACCTAAGATTCTGATTCTCTAATCAAGATTGTATCTCTCAAAAAACAAAATGTAGTGGCAGATACTAGCAAGAACATGTCTGAGTAATTAAACAAATAAGCGATGAAGGATAATCTATTACATGCTATTACACACTGTGCACAAAACACTCATGTGTTTCATTCTCTTTCTGCAGGGACGATCTGGTGTGCCTGGGAGGAAAGGGGACAGAGGAGAGTCTGTCGGAGTACCGGTAAGAAGAAAAGGAAAAACCTGAGATTTTCCTGTTGTTAAAGCCCTAATCAATAATCTATTTGACCATTTCAGACAGATATTTGGTGTTTGGGAGACACTTTTGTTTACATTAGGATTACTGATTGTACCTTACAGCTGCAGTAGGTACATTTTATGAAAATAAGGATAGAAAGACATTTTAGGTTGGAGGCCTGAAGACAGGCGATTGTTGAGTTTTATTCCAAGCACCAGTATTTGACAACCTGAGACTGAGACTTAACAATCAACTATCTTTTTTGGTCGTGATTGGTTGTTTTCATTCAGGCCCGGTGGATTCTTGCCAATGCCATTAGGAGCACTAGGGGGAGCCAGAGGAACCTGATTTTTTCACAGGTCTCATGTACTACTGTCAGGATGTAATGAAATTTTCAGAAAATAAGACAAAAGTTATTTTTTATAAAACTTACCTACTGCAGCTTTAAGTTCCTTTTCACTTCACTTTGGAGTTGTGGGTTATCTGTCTGTCTGATACATGAGATGTGGCATGTGATAATTCTGTCTCTCTGTATCTCTCTCTCTCTCTCTGTATCTCTCTCTCTCTGTATCTCTCTCTCTCTCTCTCTCTCTCTCTCTCTCAGGGACCTCCAGGTCCTCCAGGCCCACCTGGACTGCCAGGAAGAATTATTGGGCTGGGCGGAGTAAGTTTCCTTCTGTGGCTTTTTATTTCTCTTATTTGTCATTTTCAGTTAGTGGACAGGGATGATGATGATATTGATCATGATAAACTTTATGTTTTATACTTTACATTGCAATACGTAAAAGTCTGTTTCACAGGCATATGTTGGACATGAAAATGCCTTTTAATTCAGTTGGCTTTGGGTCCAGTTTTCACTATTTCTACGAGCCGTCTGAATCATTGTGCTGTAATCACATAAAATACATTTTGGCTTTAAAAAAGAACTGTGTATCTGTAGATATCAGTCTGTGCAGCACCAGTATCATTGGAAGTCAGTTTGTGTTTTTTTGTCTGTAAAGATCATCTACAGAACAGTGTTTGCCACATTCCAACTAACAGTTGGAAATCTTTTAGTCTGACTACGCTGCTCTGCTTTGAATTTTAAAGACAGTGTTTCCGGTGCGCCCCAGACCGCACTGCAAAAAGGGACGAGTAAGTCTGAGTCGGACCATCTGATTGGTCTGTTTCAGTTTGAAATGGGACCATCCGGTGGTTCTGTTGGTGTGTGGGTGTAGCAGCATGGCAGCTCTCTGGTCTGGGCTACAAACAGCACTCCCATCTCTTTTACGTCCCTTCATTTTCTCCTCTCCCACCTCCTGGCTCTCCCCTGTCACTGCCTTAACATTCCTCTTGTATGCAGGTTGTATCTAGATATGGATTTCATTATCGTATCTACCTGACACATATTTTTGATTGGATCTACATACAAAATGTATTGAGAATAGTCACCAGATATAGATGCATTAGTCACCTGATGTGGCTGCTCCAATCTTTTGTTGCATCTTGGGTTCATTTACACCAAGATGTTCTGTGAGTTTGTTGAATCCAGTCTGATCACCCAGGATGAATGTTAATGGCAGGGGTCCAAGGGGGGGTCTGAGTCTGAGTCCTGCTTGCCTTGTCTGTCCTTACTGTCCCCATCATATCAGGAGGAGGAAGCTGGGTGAAAATTGTTGATACTCATCAACTACTACTTCTACTCTATGTACATCAGAGTTGGTGCCGAATCACTTTCCAGTTCAATCAATTCAAAAAAGGATTCCATAGAGAATATACTCCTAAAATGTGAGGCATTAGAGGCTTTCAATTTTTATTTCTTCCAAAGAAAAGCTCTTTCCTTAATTGATTGTATTTAAAGTGAGATATATCAAACTCTGGCCGGCCTTTCACTGGGTAGACAGTGGTGGAAAGTAATTAAGAACATTTACTCAAGTACTATACTACAATTTTGAGGTACCTGAGTATTTCCATTCTATCCTGTTTTATACTTCTACTGGATTACATTTCAGAGGGAAATATTTTTACTCCACTCCATCCATTTGATAGATTAATATTCTGAATCTGCAAAGTAACTACTGAAACTTTGCAGATTCAGAATATTAATACAAAATATAACCAACAAGTAAAATCAGACATATTATTATCGGTTAAGCTACACAATACATAAATACAGTAATGCAAAATTAGCCCCACCTTAATAAACTGCAACATTAAAGTGATCCAGTAATCTATATTATTCTGAAATGGGTCATTCTGCTAAATGAATACTTTACACTTTACTGTACTTTGAATGCAGGACTATTTTTTAAATCTAGAGATCTAAGTACTTCTTCCACTCCTGTAGATAGAAATGGTGTTAGAGTCTGTCGTGGTGCTGGGTGTGTGCGTTCTGTTTGAAGGTGACGCAGCAGTTTCTACTCGGCTGAATTCCAATCGGATAAACTGGTGGCGGGCTCTTTGCAGGGACTATACACAAATTCTTATCAAAGTACCAGTTACTGTGTGAAGTTCAATATAACTGTGCCAACATTTAACCCTCATCCTAACAACATATTTAACATTCAAACACTGGGATCCTTGGGGACCCCCAAAATGTTAATTTATTTCTTCTCAAAACAGTATTAGTTATTAATACTAATATTGCTAATAATGTCATCTGAAGAAAAACAAAAAATATTTTTTTAGGATGGTTACAGTTCATTTTCAAATTGTGTAAAACTAAAATAGACATAAGGAAATCTCGACAGGTGAGGGGCAATGACAGTACCTGCCCTGATAGTGTGTGCTACTTTGAATTAATAAATAGTTCCATCTATTCTAGTCTGTGGATAGCCCAGTCTGTAGAATGAGGGTTAAATGTGAAATTTGATGAGAAATATAATTGTATAAGAGCTTGTATTGTACTGCAGGTTTATACAGTTAAATCTCATGATGTATTTTATATGGTTAATTATTGAAAGTCTCAAAGCAACTGTCATGAATATGTGAGCCACCACACATTTAACTGCTGCAGTGATTTATTTGACAAACAGGGGAAGTGGTCCTATGATCTACAGTACATTTGTTACTGACTGTTTTATATTAATAATCTATTAGGAGCATGTTGCCCTCATTTTATATACAGTTTTTGACTAATCTGGGATTATCCCAGCTGTCTTCTGGAGTAGCAGAAGTGCGTCAAGGCCCTGAAAATATAATCAACTATACCATAGGACATCATTTATCATGTGTACAAATCATCATGATTTGATGGTTGTCGACAGCAGATTGCACCCATCATAAAGTTAACACCTTCTTAATGTCCATTTGAGCTATGTGCAGGATGCTACTGACAGCTATCAGTGTGATGTAAGGATGCATACTAGTGTCAATTTTAATTTAAAACAGCAGCAGGTAAGGTGTAGTCTGGCAGAGGCCTCCAGGAAGTCACTGACAGTTGTTGTAAAACACATTCCCCCATTAAAAAAGTTAGTTTAAATTAATTCATTTTTGAACCAAGATCTATTTTGTAGAGACATTTAGACACCTGATTTAATCTTGTTACCTAACCCGTTCTATTTTAACCACCACAGCCAGAGAGGGCTGTACGTGCTGCTGCCTAAAGCATGCATCCCTTGTGTTTAACAGGTGTTTTTGCAGAGCTGATATAACTGTTGTCTTATTTAATTATAACCCAAGTTTTATTAATTTTAACATTGGTGTTTGTCTGCTATCACATGCTGGTATCCATGTAATATTAATGCATGTGCGTGTTTCTGTGTGTAGGAGTCAGTGACAGGGGATGCTAAAGGAAACAAAGGAGATATGGGAGTACCTGGAGAGCCAGGCAACCCTGGTAAGACCTTTACAGCAGACACATTTACTACCACTGAAACTTGTAAACAATAAATGACTGCAGAAACTTAACAGTAACATTGATGGCGTGTCATTTCTCTTCTCAGCGCCCGGGTTTCCAGATGGAATTGTGGTGAGTACTGATCTGTTGCTTAAAACAGCAGCAACATGTCATGTTAAAGGTGCACTGAACAATGGAGTTGGTGCCTCTGCGCTCATTGTTTTGGGTTTAGGGCCCACTTCTTTACTGTTTTGGTTCACTCTCACTGTTCTCACCAACAGCAAGCAGCTTCTTTCAGCTATTAGCCACTGTACTGACAAAGAAAGCGACTACCTGGTACCTGGTTGTTCAGTCATGCTCAAGGTGTAACAGACAACTGTTGGCTTCCATGTTGTACACCTCTGCTTCTTGAAAATGGTCATAAAAATGAATGAATGTTGATCCAAGAAAGTTTTATTTTGGAAGCCTGTTCTCTTGATCACTAACTGATCTGATTATTAGATGATTCATGCTTGTGTTTTTACAACTTAGACGGTGAGCTATCATTAAGAAACTACTGTATGAATTTATGTAATTCTCATTGGCTCTTGCTATAATGGGAGAGGCTGTGCTTTTTATAAACAAAGAGGCATAAAGTTTGAGAGGATAAAAACCCAAGAGAGGACTTAATATTGACATTGAAAGAAGCTCCTGGATTCTCCTGAACTTATCTTTAAAGGGCGTGTGGTTGATCTTCTGTATGCTGGTTTCTTTGTCTCTTTTCTTGTGGATCTCTCAGGGTGCTAGGGGTGATGCAGGATACCAAGGTCAGAAGGGAGAGAAGGGTGACAGCGGTCCGCCTGGTCCTCCAGGACTGCCTGGGAGGTCAGGACTTGTGGTGAGTCACATCCTGAAAACGGTTTGATAATTAGTTAGTAGTTATTCATTCAGTTCAGCTGCAACAGAGTGAAAATATTCAGCTCAAACTTAAAAGCAGTTACCAAATGAATGTCTGTTTATACACTCCTGCAGGGTCCAAAAGGTGAATCCATCGTGGGTCCGCCAGGACCTGTTGGTTCTCAGGGCCAGCCTGGAGCCCCCGGGTTTGGACGACCTGGTCCCCGAGGGCCCCCAGGCCCTGCTGGATCCCCAGGACCAGCACCTGCATATGGATCAGGTATGTGTCAGAGACTTCAGTTTACGTTCATAAAAGTTATAGACCGCATGACTGTCTTGTATCTGTTATATGTATTTCTGATGTGTCATCATCAGCTGTCAGTATCCCCGGACCTCCTGGTCCTCCCGGTCCACCAGGATCTCCAGGATATGCCAACCCGGTAAGATACCTGCCATTGAGCTAGGCACTTTACCCCTGGTCTTATGTTCCCTTGTCTAGTGACATTGTTTACCTCATTCTACCATGATGTCCCTTAACACTGACAGTTAAAACTATAACAACAAAGTGTCCTGAAGGCACAGCACTGACGCTGTGATGCTGTGTACATTCAGGTGACCACCTATAAGACGGCCCACGCTCTGAGCAGAGAGACTCACCGTGCTGCAGAGGGAACCTTGGTCTACGTGTCTGAGAAGGGAGGAGAGCTCTACATCAGAGCGCGCAACGGCTGGCGCAAGATCCAGGTTGGCTGTGCTGATACTCCTCTGTATCACCTGTCACTTATCATCAGTGTACATGAGACGTTGAATTTTCACAAGCTTTACAGCTTTGAGTTTACTCCTTGTCACATTTGTGTCATCATCTAAAGTGCCATTTAATCTAATGAGAGCACATTTGACTGGTGAAATCAACATAGTTCTTAACCAGACTGTGTACGTGTGTGTTCCTCTTTCAGCTCGGAGAGTTGATCCAGAGTGGACCTTCCTCCTCAGCAGCGTCTCAGGCCCTCAGCAGATCTGCAGAATGGAGCAGACCACACAGGGTCCACAGCCAGGTTCTCTCTCTCTCACTCACTCACTCACACACAGACACACACAGACACACACAGACACACACAGACACACACAGACACACACACACAGACACTAACAGACACTAACAGACACTAACAGACACTAACAGACACTAACAGAAGAGCCACAGCAGGAAACAGACAATACCGAACCTGAAAGACTCGATCCAGCTGTGCTCTAGACTGGAGTAATGCATACATCTCTGGAAACACATTTACAACTCAACATACTAATTAGTGTTTGTTCAATAGGAGCTTCAAGAGGGCAGTCGAGGATATCAGCCCAGCTATAACGTACTACCACAGACCTTCAACGCTGTGCCTGGGGTGAGTGTAACAAACACACCTTTACACGCACCTATCCCACATATTTAACATTACCTGGCAGTGGTGGATAATGTGTCTGATTTACTGTGTTTTCCTCTGTCCCAGCTCCATCTGGTGGCACTGAACGCCCCGCTAAAAGGGGACATGCGTGGGATCCGGGGAGCAGACTTCCAGTGCTACCAGCAGGCACGCTCCATGGGCCTGACAGCCACCTACCGGGCCTTCCTGTCCTCCCACCTCCAGGACCTGGCAACCATCGTGAGGAAGGCGGACCGCACTGACATGCCTGTGGTTAACCTCAGGGTGAGGAGAATTTTATGTTTACATTTACAATTTATTTCAAGATAATATTCTCAACACTACTCAATATTTCTGACCATTGATGGGTTTTTCATTACTTAGGGGTAAGACTGTGTTCCTAAAGGTTTAAAGTTACACTCAGCCATCATAATAGATGGTGTATTTACTACTGACATCTACTTTGGAAACGATTCAGTTCTCTTTTACCACTCTCTCCACTCAGGGTGAGGTGTTGTTCAGTAGTTGGATGTCCATCTTCTCTGGGAACGGAGGTACATTTAACCCATCCACAGCCATCTACTCCTTTGACGGACGTGACGTGATGACGGACTCAGCATGGTGAGTGAGAGAGAGAGTGTGTGTGTGTGTGTGTGTGTGTGTGAGGGAAATGAAAGCTAATTACAAATTGCAGATTTTATGAAAACCCAATTGGCCTGAAAAGTCTCATCCAAACAGGTTGCTGCAAAGGTTTGTGTGACTGTGTGATACAAAATTAGCAAAAATTTTCCTGTTGTCGCTCTGACCAGTTGTTGTGATCGTTCCAGTGCTTTGCATTATGGGACACAGTAGGCGAGGTCCAATGCATACTGGAGATTTTTTCCGAATCAGTACGACATCTGGGTATTTCTGGCATACTGCAGATTTTGCCTTTGTTTGCATGCTGCTTACTACATGCTACATTTTGGGCAAATCAGTACGTAGCTCTAGTGTAGTAGGCGGTTTCGAGTACAACCATAGCTCCTACTTGGGTTCTTATCTCAAATTTGGTAGCACCAATTAAGTTCAGTTGGGTCTTAATACCGTTTATGTAATACCGTGTGTCTAAACACCTACCTGCATTTAATAATACTACTAGTGTAACTAATTACTAATACATTTTTGTAATAATATTAAAGATACAGCCCCCCAAAATAACTAGTTATATTACTTTTGTTGTCACTCCCTAGTGATTTGAAATCCAAAAATTCAACCACATCCTCTGATTCATTTTTGTAATCGTGCACGTCACCAAGCAGGACAGAAGCTTGGAGAATGGAAACGCTTCCATTCAGCGGCTGTAAATATTCCCAGTGCTTTGATCTGAACACAAAACTGGATTTTAATCGTGGACAGGATAAGAACTAATGAGGCTTGTGTCTGGTATGTGGTGGATGAAATGTCCGACCCTCCATCTTTTAAAGGTGGATTTGCAAGATAGACTACAGTATGTGTTGAAATAGAGTTGTTGTTTCTCATCACTAGGTACTGTTAGCAGGGAGTCATAAGTAAAGTCATAATATTACTTTTGAAAAGACTAACGAGTAACGAGTAATGAATTATATTTTTTGAGTAACAAGCCCAACTCCCTCTCCCTCCTCCCCCAAGGCCAGAGAAGTTGGTGTGGCACGGCTCCAGTACGGTGGGCATCCGTCTGACCACTAACTACTGCGAGGCGTGGAGGACGGCTGACATGGCGGTGACGGGCCAGGCTGCCCTGCTGCAGACGGGACGACTGTTAGGACAACACACTCGCTCCTGCTCCAACCACTTCATAGTGCTGTGTATAGAGAACACGTATGTGGGGAACACGCATCAAAAGAGGACCTGAAAACACACACACACACACACACACACACACAAACACACACGCAGGCTTGCTGAAAGTGCAGAGTAGAGACACAGCGCTCATACATTTGAATTTGAGTGGGAAACACATTCGGGCACATACACACATGATGATGACATATCACTGCATAGAAGTTAAATCCAAGTACACAGACACAGACAGAAGGCACTTGTGTTCGCACATGCAGATAAAATATGCACGTTAACACGCAGAAGCAGGCGCCTACGCAGCACACACACACACACACACACATTTGAGTTCCTTTCACCTTGTTTACTTTCATTTTTAGTGCCAATGTGTAATCCAATACTTCATAATGTCGCCACGCATCCGTCCCAGTCTGAATTCAAGTTATTTATATTCACTATGATCATGTTACAACGTTGGGATTTAGAGTATGTGGTGCTAAAGTGAAAGATATCAGTAGAACACACCTTAGCAGTGTTTTATCTTCATAACTACAAATCATTTATTTTTGGAGTATGTTTCCTACAGTTTCTATCAGTTTCCCTAATGTGTGGAAATGAACTACCAGACTCTTGTTTGAGTTGTGTGGCCCATCACTGTGAACATTAAGTGTGCTTTTTTTGTGGTTTTTGTTATGTTACTGTTGTATGGTGACGCAGTTTAGGTGTAGAGTGTGTGCGTTGCATTAGCTCACAACAATAACATTCAGACAACCGTAACGTCGACTTTATGTTCGCTGTGATGGATTAGACACTGTTAACACATCTGCCAGCTGATTTTCATACAGGGAAAGGGATGGAAACCACTGGCTGTTTAGAAATAAAACAAATTAGACATTTTCTTAAGTACGACAGCATGGTGTGCAGAATGGTTCAAATACACTATGATTTATGATTTGTAGTAAATGGGCAAAAACTTGCTCATTGTTCAATTTCAGGCAAACAACGTATTGTAGTCTTTATCGATACTATTGTGGATTCTTATGAACTCATTACTGGTGGAGAATATCATTTCTGAACATGACAGTGTTGTAGTTTAGAAGCAAGTGTTGTGTATCAAAGCGAGCTGTTTCTGAGGACTTTCACACTGCCGGTTGTGCAAGAAATAAATCAGGTTCGGCTCATTTAGGATCAACAAACCGCATGAAAAGATCAAAACCAACACTGTGTTATCTCTTAACTCTCCTACCCTGTCTGCGGCTCTCTGCCCCAAGACCACTGGTTGTTAAAGAAGACATACATCTTTAAACACAGCTCACAGATAGATTAAAAAGTGCTGCTGTTCACTGTACACACACTGTTACTCAGACTGGAGGAAATAGTGCATTTGTTGGGGACTACTTTCAGCAGTGGATTAATACATATTTGTTGTGTTAGTGAGTATTTGGGGCAGCAGGACGGTGTATGTGGGATAAACTGAAGCCGCCAGGAAGAGCGCCGGGCTTTGAATCCGATTTGACATGGTGGCCAAACGCAGTTGTTTAGGAGTATGCAGGGTTTTAGAAATAGAGTTCCAAAACCTAGACTTGATAGGGGGTTTGGGGACATACAAGCATCAAAGTAAAGTTCTTTTTAGACAATTATTTTATGACTTTCATTGTTTATCCCTCTGAAAATAAAACTGAGGTCCATAAATGGTGATAAGTGGTGAGTAAGGCCATGAGGTGGTGTTACACAATAAGGGTACTCGTGAATAAAAATACTCAGTAACTGAGAGTACTGTCCCATTTCACAGCACTGCTTTCGGTCCAATTACATTTGGAAAGTCTAAAGGAGCTGCATGGTTCAATCATTTTATCCCCATTCGAGTTAGCGGCGAGCTAAACTGGAAGTTAGCGCGGCAGATGTCTCTAGTGCACTTGCTCTATGGGCCCCAGGATGCAAAATTATTATTTTATACTGGGAAATTAAACTCTTTTGGCTTCCATTAGAATGAACAGAGCTCCACCTCCAACCCTGTATCCAGTTCTCCCATAATACATCTGTGGATAGACTCAAAATAAACTTCAGTGTCATCCTGTGCAACAGTGTGGCTCATTGATGCGTTTTTAATAGTTTTTGGAGAACTACGGAACTCTATGGCACAGAGGAATTAGATATATCAGAATTTGATACACTCATAATATTTGTCAGTAGATACATTGTTGGTTTAGGTCTTTAAATGGGATTTGTTAGAACAATATAGAGGCAGACTTACCTTTAAGTATGAGCACAATGTGAACAATTAGGAAACATACAGTTTACTGTACATGTGTAATGAAATATTCCTTTTTTACCCTGTAATGTCAGGCAGTCTCATCATCATCAGTCTCCATTTCTGCCATATTTTAGATGTAAATACTCTGGGTGTAAATGACTTCCTCCTAGCAAGGTCAACCAATCACAGCATCATTCACATTTTCCCATGTTTTTCCAGGCCACTGAAACGCCCCCAAAAAATGTCTGGAATTTACCAAAAAACATTTTACCACTAAGATCTCTAATCGTTGACTCCGCAGATATTAAACAAATATTAAAGACATTAATCATGCAAGATAAAGCCCCCTGCGGTTAACTTGCTGACTCACCAGTGTGTTGCAATTGGCATCCCGTAATCCAGTATTAAAGATTGATTGTGCAAATCAGGATAATACGGCAATATTTTCCTGCTCTTCTGCTGAACTTTGGTCCTGCTGCTCGCAATAAAGCGATCTGAACTAGTCTCAACATTAACATCAGCGTTAGTATTAGTATTAGAGTTGAAATCAATGCGTGATTCTCATTAATTTATACAGTAGCAGGACGTAGTGTGAAAACCTAGCGAGTTCACTTTCAGATTTTGATGAAGTTGGAACGTGTACAGTATATATATGTGTGTTGTTATTGTCCAAATGTTTTTTACTCTGTAGATGTAGATTTTGTATGATGCACACTAAATGATTTTCTCTCACCAAGCGCTGATTGAGCTGTAGTTCTGTCTGTAAAGATGACGTAGGCCTGGCTGAAAGGCACACAAATGTTGAGATATTCAGAGTTAGTCTTCCTGATGTCTGATTATGTATCTGTTCAAACAAAACTTGAGCTTCTGAGGAAAAAGAAGGTTTGTACTGACTGACTGGTGCTCACTGAATAAATGTCTTATTTTGTGTTTTTTTTTAATGTGGTGACTCCTTCATTGTCCTTCACTTTATGTCCACCAAATCCTAGAAATGTCATTCCCAACTTTTGTTTTTAAATTTTACAGTTTAAAATTAGAAATGAAATCTACCCAGCAGATAGAGACAATGTTTAAAAGGTCCAGTGTGTAACATTTAGAAGGAATATGATATTCATAGGTATGTTTTCATTAGTGTAGAATCAACAGAATATAGCAATTGTTGTGTTTTTGTTACCTGAGAATGAGTCATTTTATTATATTATATTCCACTGGACCTTTAATCACATTAAAATAGTAAAAAATAAGATGGAGTGTGGGGTGTTCTCTTTTTACTTTAGCTTTGTTTGATATGATTAATACATTTGCAACCCTCTCTCCATTTTATTCTTTTTAAAGTGAGCCTTTGTAACTTCTGCTGAATACTAACAGGCAGTGTAACTGTAACAGAAGTAGAGTCATGAGCTAACTCAGTAATATACACAGCGATCTTTATCTAAAGCTAACATTAGCCACCATAAGCTGTGTGTGAGTGTGATGAACTGAGAAAAGGTGTGATTTGTTACTTTTGAATTCAACTTTAAATTTTTAGGAAGCAGATTTGGTTGTTCCTTCATCCTACAGGTACACGGTCTGGCTGTAAATGTCAGTTAAAAATGAACTGAGATGTCCTGTTGGATGTAGGATTTAGGATTCATCATGTCACAAAATAACCCACCAACAACAACAACAACAACAACTTGGGGATCGAGTACAGTTTCTGGAAGCGATAAGAAGCATCCACGCTTTAACAAAAGATTGACTTTAATTAAATGGATATGTACAGCACATTCCTGAATCAAAACAGCAGGTCAGTATGTCTTCATATTGAGAATTCTTTACTTAGTTTCACCCCCACCCCCCCACCCCGAAAAAAAAAAACAACAACAACAGATACACAACAGATGTGCTTCAGTTTCAAAAATGTTTTAAAACCTCCCCTTATTGCACCAGAGTCATACAGACTTGAGTCACAGGGTCAGCGTAAGGACGTCAGCCTTAAAACAACACACACGCCAAAATCATACTGTATGCATGTGTCCCACAAAACGAGGACAAAGTAAAGACGCTTTACCGGTCGCTACAGCAGCTTCCACGTCGTAACTCCGCCACACACATTATTGAAACAATAATTATTCAGATTGCTTAGAAAAGACCCCAAGACTGTCTATAAAAAGGGTATCCATAAAATCCATAGCTTGGTAAAGAAACAAATAAATCTTAAAAACTGAGAGATTTTATACGTCTGTGTGTTTGTGTCAATAAGTCCAGATGTGTACAGAAGTGCACAATAAAGCCAAGAATTTAAAAATAGCCAAACAGCTTCAGAAAACAACCAACCAAGAGATGGAAGAACGTTTAGTTTGCACATAATGGAAATACAAATGTTTTAAATAGATCGGAACTCCTCATACGACACTGTTACAATGCTGCTGGGCTGCCTTTACACACATACAACAACCACCTGTTCTTTATAGTACTGCAGGTCAACGCCGTACATCGAGGCTTACTTTTTTTTCTTTGCACTCAAGCAAGATAATTGATCACAATGATTGATTAAGTTGTAAAGGAAGCTCATCAATTATCAGCTGCATGCGGTTCTGGGGTCCTACGCCGCACGCCACTGAGGGGTCGCTGAAGAGTACTTTAATATGATATTATACAAGTGGAAATACACACTGAACTGAAAACTTTGGACCAATACAACATCAGTCACATGTCAGAAATCTTCACACAATTAATAAAATCCTAATTGTTGGTTTCAATTTAAGACGCCAAAAGTACATACTGTTATAAACTGTGTGAGCTCCCATAGTCACAAGAGAAAAAAAACCTCCGGTCCCAGCTTTTAAAAAATACATTAGTGGAAGCAGGAAGATAGAAATAAAAAAATGGCAATTTTTTTTGCACCTGTGTAAAAATCAGCCACAATCTTCTGGCGCTATTCAATAAAAAAAAAAAAAAAAAAAGGAGAGATTGACTTTATATGAAGTTGCTTTTGAAATCTGGCAGTGTAAATGTTCCTGTAGGTCCAAAATCTGTTCCATTCATCTGTAAACTGTTAACTGTTAGTACATCAGTTAGAAAAAGAACATCAGAGAAATCTGGCAATTTTAACACTATCTGACTCTGGGTTATATGCTGGTGTAAAGCAGCTCTGGAGTGGGAATATCATTGTGTATGTGTGTATGTGTGTGTGTGTGGGGGGGGCATTAGTCCAATTATCTCATGTCATAACTCTGCTGTGTGTGCAGGCAGTGTGCAGTCAACTTTTTACTTTGGCGTTGTTAAAGCATTAAAAAAAAAAAAGTAGAAAATTGCAGCAAGGCGTCAAAAGTCTGAAGGAAATAGAAGGCTGATGGGAAATAAGGATCACAACACAGAGGGAAACATTAAAACAGATAATCAATGTCGGCCTGATGAACACCGCTGATCCAAACCTGACAACGCTGAAGTATTCTGATACAAATAGCCATAATAGGAGGCCGGCTTTTATTCACAATTAACACACTAACAACCCCCCTTAAAAACCAGACAGGGCCGACACAGCAGCATATGCATTCAAGCTAGCTTTCTAAAGATGTACAGGTAAATAGGTTTACTGGGAGAGCAGGAAGTAGCTGCCACTGCAGTGCAGATCTGAAGCGTCTACCATGGCTGCATGTCCCTGAGAACCGAGATCCAAATGTGATTGAAGAGGTTTTGCAAAACGTCGAGGACTATCTGCACCAGGAGCCAGACAAATCCCAACCGGCCGCCCTCCAGTGCGTGTTCTCAGTCTACGCTGCCACGGAGCCTCCCGCGCAGTCGCCTAGCAACAGCAGCAACCGCAAGTCAGTGAAAACCCTCCCGCCTCGCCTCGCCTCGCCTCGCCTCGCCGCGGGAAATACACAAAGCAACGTTTGAAAGAGGCGCAGATGGACGGTGTTAAGACTGACACGAGGGGCCGTGAGAAATAACATTAATAATAACACTGACCACGCTGACTTCTAATTTTATCGGCTGCGTAAATAACCAAACTTCCAAAAACAAAAATCCATTATTTTAGTTTTGCTCTGAGCCGTTTGGTTTGAATGTGCTGGCACTAGTACATAATTACAGTCTTTATTTCTTTCCCACCTGGATTCAAATGTACATTTAATGAAGACGATTCACTTTTAAGGCAGTGTTTGACTTCACAAGATCTCCGTCATTACTCTGCAGAATTAACCAGACCAGGCTCAATGAACGAGCAAATCAATGTGTTTTTGGAGGGAAAAAGAAGCTTGTTCCCTGGGGAACCTAATGAGCGCAGTTAAAGGAAATCTAGAGTTTATTACAACTTGGGTTTGACTTTTGAAGCTCTGGTCAGCAACATTGCCCCATTCAGTCATCTCCGCAGCGTTAGCATAGCTGATAGAAAGAATGGCCAGGGCTAGGAAAGTAAAACGTGAGCTGTAATAAACAATAGTTTTCCTTTAAGTGTGCTGATACACACGGAAAAAGACTTTAACCGCTTCTGCTCAGGAGCGGAATCAGTCCATAAAATCGACCTCTTTTAGAAAAGAAAAAAAGAAAAAAGAGAGAGAGAGAGCAATGCATCCCAGAATGCACCCTACTCTTCCAGCCAGTACGTTGGATTCCTTTCCACACCAGTAACACATTCCACACTGGGAAATGTAGAACCACAATAGCCATGTTTGGTAGATCTGAAATGAGGAAGTGTAGGGACAGAGGAATTCAGTCACGTTTGATATCTTTGAGTTGTGTTCTGAGGCAGACAGACCGTGAAAGTGGAAATAATTTAGTTTCCTCAAGAGCCCGACAGAAGAGAAAAAAAATCTGAAGTCTGCTCTGTGCCCTCGTCCCAACCGCCGCTGCTGTCTACGCTGAAACGTTGAGTGAAAACAAATGTTCACATTGACGAGGTTTTGATCAAAGATGCTGAGTCAGGCTTAAAACTGCAGCTTAAAAACACCAAACACACTTCTCTCTCTCTCTCTCCCCCCTCTCTCGCTCCTCACACACACACACACACACACACACACACACACACACACACACACACACACACACACACACACACACACACACACACACACACACACACACACACACACACACACACACACACACACACACACACACACACACACACACACACACACACACACACACACGCCCATCACTCGGAGACTTTAGCCGCCTCGAAGTTGACGGCCAGTTTTCTGTGCTTCCTTTTGGAGGCGGAGCCAGGGGTGTGGCCTGTTGCTGGAGGGATTTGCCGAGGGGGTGTGTGTGGGGCTGCTGTTGTCGTGGAAACGGTGTCTGTCAGGCCAGGACTGGACGAGGAGAGGTCGCTGTTGGCAGCGTGTTGGTGTGGCTGGTCGGCTTTACCGCCCTGTGATTGGCCGGAGGGCTGGTTCTGGGCTCTCTGTGATTGGTGTCTATGGGCGGCGCTGTAGAACTCTCGAGTTTCCTGGTTCTTCTTGTTGGCGGATACTCGCTTCTTAGTCACCTGACAAGTGGAAGGTTGGGTTACCATGAGCGCAGCATTACTTTATTAGCATAAAAGAACAACAGAAGGAAGGAAAAGTACAGCAAAATGTTCCAACTGCCTCTGTTCATACGTCTACGTTTACCTGTAAGGGAATAAACTGGTTGTGTGAGCCGATGGGCGGCGCCGCTGCAGGCTGGTGGCGGGCGGCACCAGGGAAGGTTCCTGCTGCTCCGTAGAACGGTTGGTTTTGGTGGTGGTGAGGAGGCAGCGCCATTCCCCAAAGAGGGCCAGGGGCATAACCCTGGGGAGGCAACAGCAAACCCCCTGGAGGGACAGAGCGTTCTCTTGAGACACCAGCTCATAAAATAAAGATAAATAAAGAAAATAAAGATTTTCTAAAGATTTTGCTATCAGTATCATTATCAGATGTAAATCCTGCAAAAATGTGATCAATAGTTGTTGGGGAATGCCAAAAACAATGAGCATGGGAGTGTAGATATGAGAAAGCATGTTGGCTGTAGTCTTGCAGGTACGGCCACAGAGAGGGTGTACCCCACCATCTGCTCACAACCTCAGCAACAGACCGTGACACTAAACTGTAAGGAGGGAGGACTGACCTTGTTGGTTGAAAACGGAGGCCATGGCTCCTATGGGTGGGGGCCGTATCTGACCCACTCCTGGGTACAGAGCAGGTGGGAGGGGGAAGCCTGATCCCACGGAGTTCTACAGGCAGCATAGACAGAAGCTTTAGTTGTACATCGGAATAATGACAGACTGTGATCTGTGCATATTTATAGTCCCTTCATGCCCTCTGGAACAGACATGTTTTTACCAGTTTTAAATTCCTGTGAGTATTGTAGAACACTGTACAGGATTTTTGGCATCTGATAACCTTCAAACTCATAGATCTGTTACTCAGAATAGACTTCCTGAACTTTAAAATGCTCTGCCTATCTTCTAAAAACATGTTCATTTAGATTAAGTGTGTGTGTGTGTGCGTGTGTGTGTGTGTGTGTGTGTGTGTGTTGTACCAGTCTCTGGAGGGCAAAGAAGGCAGCTTTCTCCTTGGCATCATTTTCTGATTGGCACTGTGGGCCATGAACCATCAGCCCATTGGACAGCTTCACCTGACACACTACTACACCCTGTGGAGATGGGGGACAACGTTAGTGCAACCACACAGACACAGACACAGACACACAGACACACAGACACACAGACACACACATAGTAAAGTTATTCAGAGGTATTTGTGTAACATGCAGAAGAACATGAGACCAAAATAATATAAGAATACATTTTCGATGTGTGTTGCACAAGACAATCATGGACTGTGTGGTGTTACCTGTCTGTTGCCTATGAAGCTAAACTCAGGTGGTGCCATCCCTAACCCCACGCAGACACACGCCAGCTCCGACACCTTACTGGTCAGCATGGCGTTGGAGAGGTTGGCAGAGGCAGCCGGCGCGGGAGATCCTAATACAGCTGCGTCACCGTGTGGGGCGTTCATATTTGCTGCTGAAGGGGGGGGAATGGGATGAAAAGGGGAGAAAAAATATGGCTGAAGTTCTATACAAACAAGCATGTTCTTTGGTTTGTAAATCTGGTCGCAGTATGCTTGCCTGCGGTGCAGTAATCAGTTACCTAGTTTCTTGGACGAACGTCTTCTGTTCTGCTGTTGACCACCAGAGGCAGCACTGTTAGCCGTCTCCTGGGGAGAGGGACTTCCTGTTCCAGCACCATCAATCTTTAGCATCTCCTTCAGCACCATGGTTCCCTTCTGCAACAGACAGCACACACACAGTATAATTTGTGTCAGAGTTGATCTACTGACCAGAGACAGAATAAATGGATTGAAATAAAATGATATTACGCATGAATTTCTCGAGGATTTCAAGCAAAGAAAATGAGTCGAGTTCAGTTTTTGTAGACAAATACTTCATCATATGTATGCAAAGAGGTCATTTCTGATTATAAAATAACGTTTGGTACAGTCTTGTTTAACATATTGAGAACAGTTAGTAAATAGCACTATGAGTCAGCAAAATCACAATTAGAATGTGCATTACAAGAAGACTGTCTTTGCCTCTGATGACTCACCATGGCGAAAGACTGTGGAGACAACGGGCCATCTGACTGGCTTGCAGGTGCTTGTGGAGGAATGGGAGGGGGTGGGGTCTGCTGGCTACCCTTGGAGATCTTCAGACTGGCTATCAGGTCCTCAAACTCAGTCGTAGCCTAAATGAAAGAAATATGTGAAGAGACAGGAGAGCGGAAGTGAGGAGACGTGAGTTTACACAAATTTAAAAACAAGATTTTGACCATTGTAGTTTAAAACAAGTGATTGGCTGCAAACCTTATACCCTTACAGCTCAAACATGCACATACAGTGGTTGAACAGAAGAAAACAGGCTATGGAGAATAAAGAGAAAAGAAGAATAGAAGTGTTTATGTTGGTGTGTGTACCTTGTTGGCTGTGTTCTGTGCAGGAAAAAGGGAGTTGGCGTCTTCATTTTTCTTCAAAAGTCTGATGCCGCCAACTGGGGTCTGCAAGGAACATACACAAACCAACATGATTCTAGCCACATTTAACAAAAAGCAACAGTCTGCATCCAAAATGACACTAATTATGTCAGGCTGCCTCAGTGTGAGCTTCATCTAGCTTCAATGCATCAAGCATTCCTTTATTTCTTATTTGCAGCACAACCGACACATGTATCTTAATATATCATCTGCTTTTAATTTGACCTGACATGCGGCAGTTTCATGCAGTCTGGGTGATGGGGGAGCATGCAGGTGTGGTCCGTGCATTTGTGTACTCACAGCTTTGTTAGCGTGCTGGCTCCCACCCTGCTGGGAATGCCCTTCCTACAGTTGGAAACAGTTGTTTTAATAATTCATTTTTGCTTTAACACAGTAACATCTTTAGAAGTGGAAGAGTGGACACAAAGAAGGGCTGCCACGAGGACAAGGAGGGTGGGTGGGAAGTTCCACACATTTAAAATCCCTCAAAAACATTCTACCAAAAATGGTAGCAGCACTACAGAAGATGTTGCTTACCAAACACATACACTGATACAGACTTACATTGTGCCAGTGCGCAGGAGGTTTGTGAGGAGGGCCAGAGCTCTGCAGAGTCTGCCACACATTACTGTACTCCTCTTTATTCTGGATGAAGCAGCAGAGACAGAACATTAAAAATGTATATTTGTATGTTTACAAGCTTAAAAGGGCATAAACAAGTGAGGAGGGTCTAAACGCAGGTAATCCTGCACTTACCTTCCCCTGTTGTTTCTGGATGAGACCCTTAGAGGGAGAGTTCCTGTTGCCCTTGCTGTTATGCTATAGAGGGAATGGAGAAAGAGGTTTGTGTGAAAGGGCATAAGACAGTGGCATGGAGATCCATCTGAGAGACATTTCCAATGTTTTTAAATTTTAAACAGAAAAACTGTGTGGCTGCCCTCTTACCTGTGTGGGTATAAAGGGTGAACGTGGAGAGTGGTTCAGGCCGCCGAGCTGGCGCTGTGAGTTGAAGTTTGTGGCTGCGGCGGGCTGAGGTTTGACGATGGCGGTGAGCTTGTGGGAGGTGTGATCCACTCGGGCTCCATGGGAAAGGTTGATGAGAGCACAGGGAGGGAGGCGGTAACCGCGAGGTGACGTACACCTGAGGACACGGGGCCAATGATACAGCGGTCACATGTTTGCTCAGAAATCATTCTGGTGTTGTGTGAAATGTGTGGAATTAACCCTTCCTAAGGCCCGCCCCTTTTTGCTTTGTGCACCAATAACAGCTGAGCAAGCCTCAGTCAACTTTCTCCTTTCCTGTACTTAGATATGCTATGTGCTAGGCTAATCTATGTTGAAAATACAAGCCCATTTTGAAGACGGTTAAAAAATAAAAGTGACACGTATATAGCCACCGCGGAAGAAACAAAAACTAGAGGCCGGCTACTGAAGTGAGTCAATCTCCATAAGCACCTGTATTAAAATGCCCAAAATAAACATGTGCAGCCCACTACAAAAACAGTTTTGGTCTCTATAGCTGATTTCCCCCATATCATGTCATGACAGTTGATGAATTGGGAAATTGGCGGCTTTTTGTCACAGGTGGCTGTTTTCAGTAACCAGGCTTCATTTGGCTGGCCTCAGCTCCACCCACGCTCTAGATATTTGCCCATTTCTGGATTAGCCGGGAGCCGGCGGAGTCAGGACTGCCAAGATGGCAATGGCCAGCGTCAACTACGCTCGGAAACCTATGGCTGACACCACGGAGAATGCATCAAATTTTGAATTAAACTGTCTATGATCTAAGTACAGAAAGTTGATCGAGGTTCTGACTGAGTGGTGCTCAACTGTTACTAGAGCACAGAGCCAAAAGAACTTAGGAACGATCAATTCTGAGCAGTTGTTTATCATTTACACTTGGTCATGATTACCTGATGTTGAGACCTCCAGCAAATTCTTCATCAAAAAGCACTTCATAGAGAACCTCTGCCTCACGCTCCGCTGAGGGACAGACACAATATAAACTGTGAGAACCTGCACATTACCCTTATGAAGTTATAAAGGAATCAGGATGAAAGAAAGGAAACTGTGTATCCTCCTCACCTCCTTTAATGCCGATGATTGTTCCTCTGAGTCCCAGTGGCACAGTGAAGCTCTCCCTTGTGTTGACGACTCTGTCAAACAGGCGATACTCTGCATCCGGGTCTGGAACCACACCCTGTTGCTGCTCCAAGGGCTAAAGGCAAACACGGGCATGCATGCATACATTATCTTCTCAATTAATTGATTGTATGAGGCCTGGTTTAAAAGATCTAAAAAGGAGTGTGAAACAATCAGATTTACTTGTCGTGAAGTGTGCAAGAAATCAGCCTAAGAAGTAGAAAATAGTCCAGTAAACAAAGTACTGCCTAAACATAAAGTAATGGCACACACAGGCAAAAAAGTACTCACCCTGAAGAGGAGATGAGGCTTGACAGTCACACGGACTTTCTTGGTGCTCTTCTTCACCTAAGAGATGGAAGAGACAGAAATAGAGGATAAAGTGAGAGATGTGTCAAATGGGGGACAGAGAGTAGACACAAAGGGGGAAGTACGCTGTAGTTTGAGGCTGTGTGCGTCAGGGTCACCTTGGTTTTCTCCACTGCCTCCTCAATCCTCTCCACGATGGCGGTGTCCAGCACCTGAAGGTCACACGACGCCCTGCTGACGGAGCTCACGGGGTGACTTTTTAACCACGAGGTGATTTCAGCAACCCTCTCCGCTCTGTGGGGCGTCCATCAATATCAGGCATCATCAATAAATACACCACCGATTCAATTAATTCAGAAAATTGAGTGGCATTATCACATGAGATTATTCTTAATATAGATCTGTATGTGTTCTTTTACCCATTCTGGTCCAATCCAGGCCAGATGTCATCTTCATAGAAAACATCATCATGACTGTTCCTGGACACTGTGTTGAATACTTCAGAAAATCTATAAAAGCATAAAACATCATTTTAAATGAAAAGCCTGTTGGTATGAATACAGAGGGGACAGTTCTAATGTTCTCAGTTTATACCTGTCCAGGTATTCAGCTAGTAGCTCCTCCACAGCAGCAGAGTAGACCCACTCCTTTTCAGTTCTCTTGGTGTATCCAGGAACCTCTTCATTCTTCTTGTTGAACTTCAGGTTCAGGCCCACGTTAGCTCTCTGCTCACCACAGGGACTGCAAACAATGTATGCAAAGAAAACATTGGTGCAAAATGTAAAAGAGCCATGCCAAACAAAGGCCACTGGAGTGCAAATTCTTAACGTCTTACACACTTGAAAAAAAGAGCATGCAAACGTGGAAACAGTGACAGAACACTCACTTCTTCTTAGAGCCTCTGCCAATGAAGATGCTTCCTGAGAAGCGGGACACGAGGTAGCTGGTGATGCCGAGACGAGATGCCAGAACATATCCAGGATTGTACTTCACACAGTACTTCTACAAAAAACAAACACATTTGGGCAGACATTACATACCTGAGCCACAGATGGTGTAAACATGGAAAGTACCCTCAGAATAAACACAATAACTCTGAACTGAACTCCTTCAAACGTGGTGTGTGTTTAAGTGTGTGTGTGTCTTACATGCTGATTTTGAATCAAGGTATCCAGCTGTGGTTCGTGCGGCACGTTGAAGACCACTCGTACCCGGCCGTCTTTGATGACATCACTAGAATCTTGCACCTTTTAAAACAAGAAATAGAAGAGATGGCGATTCAATTAGCCAAATGAGACACAATCAGAGAAGACTTGCTAGACAGAAAGCACTGTGATGGGGGATGCTTTTACAATGTCACGTTGCAATCATGTCATCATAGGAGAGAGACTACTTCCAAGTTCCTTGTTTATAGATGACATTTATTTTGGACGTTAAGCAATACAGAATGTTCAAAATCATAGCCATCAGTTATTGAATACTATTTATTGACGTTCACTTCACCATGACGAGTCAGGGTCAGAATAAAATAGTTTATAAGTGGTGAGAGGACAAACCAAAATTAAACTGATTGTCATCAAAATATTTACAGATGCATAAAACAGCCCAATGCAGGAGTCAATTACAAACTAATAACTAGGGGTGGGCGATATGTGCAAAAAATACTATCTCGTTATTTTTTGGGATTTTGGCGATAACGATAATCAGTCGATATCCTATAAAATGTGATTGGAATTGTCTGAGTTAGGGCTTGTGTCCACCAAACGCGTTTTCAACTTGAAGCGCTCTGAGCGCAGCGCTAAAAAAGTCTTTTTGAAACTAAACCATTTCCATGCCAGAGAGGTAGACCCGCGTCTCAGCACTAAATCATCTGAAGTACCGGTAGCTTCAGGGACTGGAGGTGCTTGCATTTTCTCTCTACCATCACAACGCGCTGCTAAACTGTTGCAAGGAGGATGCTAGCGAGTGCAGCATTTCTGCACCGCGTATTCAGTGAATGTGAGGAGTTTCTGCGTGCGTTTCAATATTTTTGGCGAAGTAATTTAAATACTCGATAATGGAAATTTGCACATCGTCAAAACAACAATGACGATATTATCGCAAACGATCTATATCGCCCACCTCTACTAATAACAAACGACTATTTCATATTTAAGTCCCGCTTAACTTGACCTCTGAGTAGAGCTGCAACGATTAGTCGGATAACTGATTAGTCGATCGAAAGAAAGAAAAAATAATTACAATTTTAATTACTTTAATTACTTAAAAATGGAAGGAAATGCTGTTTTCAGCCTCTTAAATATGGAGATTATATGTTTTTCTGACACTAGCGTGTTGCAAAACACCAACATCAAATTTATGCATCTACCCTACTGGAAACCTGTAGGCTTAGCAGATGTTTTCTTTGATTAAATATAAAAAAGAAATACTGTACAAACCTTTTCTCATGTTGCTACAGTTAGCTACAAGCTACAGCTATTTTTTCCAATCAATGTCACTACAAATCGTATGCCTGGCAGCCAAAACTCATCTCATTGGCAATGGCAAAAGCATTCTGTTTTCTGTCCCGACTCTGTCTCTATGATTTGGACTCTGTCTTGACTTGGAACCAAACCTCGATTTGGTGGTTTTGACTACAGCACTGCCATTATATCTACAATGACGGGAACCGCTGAAGCAGACGACTGATCACATACCTCGCCCATGGCGCCGTAGTAAGGGTTCCCCACCATGAAGACGGTGGTTGTTGGAGGAAAGAGCTCATCTAAGCTCTTGAAGCAGGTCATAGACGAGTAGAAGGCCTTGATGTCCTGAGAAGATGAAGGGAAATGCGGGTGAGCGAGTTATTGTTTTAACAAATATTAAGTTTCCAATAAATTCCATAATTCAACTAAGTCTGTATAATAAACAAAACATATCATGTCATTAGTCCTGGAGTGTGTGCGCTAACATTTTACAGAAGACTGCTTATTAACAGACACATGTTGTTGACAATTGCAAGGTTTATTTCAGAGTTTAGCTTGTCTTTACTCCTCAGCTCATGTAGTTGTTTCTGCAGCCTCATGGCCCTGCTGGAAAACAACATAGCTTAGCACAAAATCTCGTTGTTCTGCAACTAGGCGTGTATCAGATGAAGTATGTAGTCAATAAACCTCATGGAACCACAGGACTGTAACAATCTTTCCCTAACTGTAAGCAAAGGGTTTGTAGTTGTAAACACTGCATTCGTGGAGCTTAACTGGTCACGGGTTTCCATGACTTTTATCTGTGTATTTCTTTCTTGTATGAGTATGCCAGTACCTTAACCACGGTCTGGTAGGCGAAGGGGAGGACCTGCTTGGACCACTGCTTCTCCAGTTCCACCACCCCGTTGGCTTTGGGGACGTACTTCCTTCCCGTCAGCAGCTGGCCGTACAAAACTACCGCAGTCTCGTTCACCACGATGCCTTTCCTCTTTAAGAAACTGCAAGAAAGAAAAATCAAGGAATAAAGGAAGTGTATTTATCATTATAAAACACAAGGTGGTTTAACTAAATGAAAGTTTGCCGTCCTTCATGCTACACACATAGAAAACTATAATTAAATACATAGAACAGCATTTAAAATAAATCCATTGATCATTAACACAAGCAATAAGACAGGAGAGGTCACACTTTATGGCAATTCAAAAATATCAAAAGGTCTTATGATTTGAACGCAACACGCACATTATGTTCTTGTTGGGTTTAATACCAAGAAACGGCAATGTTACAAAGGTCCCTTAGCCACCAAGGTAGGAGAAAGGCGCCAATATGTTTTCTAAACATTTTAAAACAGCTGTATTTTCTCTACAAGTTCCTGTAACAAAGTCTCTTGTTTGGTTGTTGTTTGTGCCTTACTGTTCAGTTAATCCCTGTACATCCTTCACCCAGTCCTTCTGCTCCCTGTCAGACAGGCAGGTGATTTTGGTGGGAGGAGGAGTGGAGGGCCTGTCGTACACGCTTTGGACACCAGGTGGTTCTTCTAAACAAAACCTGCAAAACAGGGTGAAAGGTTTCAGTTGGATTAGCTGCCTCATGCTTTGCACCAATACAGTGCAATACAATACCAAGACAAATTGTGTGCTAGCCAAAGACAAAAGAAAGTTTGCAGATTCTGGGCCATGTGTGGTCTTCACCATCTAATATTTTTAGGACACATTGTGTAGAATCTGGCGCCCCCTGGTGGTAGTGTCTACAAGGATCCTTTGCAGCATGGGGTGCGTATTTTTTTTCCATCAACATAATATTTTCATTTTAGTTCTTACTGGCCGATAAAATGCTTTCCATAAAATCCCAGGGATATACAATGACAATAACTTAGTAGAATAAGTAGAATCTATCCATTACAACAACTTTTTGTCTCATGTGTAAATCAGAAAACAAACAAACACACATTCAGTAAATCATTATTGACAAAATGCCCAGCGCTTATTCTTACTTGACGTCTCCGTCTGACACTGCAACGATGCGAGCTTCCTCTAGATGTGGCCAGTTGACAAACACAGTCTTCCCCAGCACTTGTGCAGCAACATCATCACACACCTAAGAGCATAGGAGCAGAGAGGGGGGAAAAGGGCAACACAATAATTAGGGGGGCAGTACATTTTATAGGACATTTGATATAGAAGGCATGCAACAGTGAGTAGACAACAAACTACAGCTTACTCTCATCTTTTAAATGATGGTCATGCAGATGTAAAATTCTGTGCTATTGATGCAGTGGTTTCCAGACAGTCTAAACTCAATAAATCGTCAAAGTATAACACATTGTTTAGGTGTTTTAATCCATTTTATTCTGCCCACAACCTGAGATTAAACAACTCGAAAAACAAAGATCCTGTGACTTTTCTAGAGCCCCATCTAGAGGACGCTCACATCATTGCAGAAAGAGACACCAAGTAAGAATTAGTATAGTGCCTTTGCCAGTGACAATATTATTGATGATAATATTATCAATCATTAAAACATGTATGTTGAGCTAATTAGTTAATTAAGTCTGCAATAATTATTTTAGCAGCGAGATCAGTTAAAAAAAACAAACAAAATCTCACCGCGTCTCCTTCCTTGCTGCGGAGGATTTCCAGTATGGTGTTCTCCCCTCTGCTGCTCTGCTGGAACACGACCACCCCAATCTTCTTCTTATAAAACTAAAAGTGAGAGAGCCCACAGACAAGCAGGACGCAGACAAAGAGAGAGACCGTGAAAAACTGCAGCCGACGTTTCTACACTAAATTTCTTCCAAGTAGTTTAGAAGAACCAAACACGTTATACAAACAACAAGTTATTACTGAGGAAGTTCAGCTGATTTGGAAAGTAAGTCTATAATTAGGGTAAAAGCATCATTCAACACCAGTACATTGTACATGTTTGCACACACACTTACCTTGTGCTTAATGTGTTGCAGTGTGGGAAAGCCACAGAAGTACAGAGCCGAGCGGTCGACGGGTCTTCGGACATAGTCCAACGGTACGTGCCAGGCATCCATAGGGATGTGTTCTGTCCTGTAACCAACAGACACAATACAATCGACCTGCAGTGAACATCAGGCTGCATGTGAACTAAGTGGGTATAATGGCTGATCTGGTTTCTGTGGCTTGTGTGTGATAGCATGGACAAATAAAGCTACTGTAATTTGACAGTAAAACCATGACTAATTACAGTTGTTGTACACTTGTTTTACGGCTTGTATCCAGGCTGTGGGGGAGTATATGTGTGTACCTACCTGCTATGGCAGTGGACGATGTCAGGGAACAGCTGAGGCAGCTGGGAGGCGTATGCGTAGTCTGTTTCATGGTCATATGAGTAGACTGCACACTCTGTGTGACGATTCCTGGCCTTCTCTTCTTTAGTCAGCTTGTGATTGCAGGGCTCCATAGCTGCTAGTAAGCACCTCTGTTCAATAAATATACAACACATATAGTTATACTGTTAATGAGTATGACGTCTGATTATCTCCCCCAGTCTAAGAGTGTGTGTGTGCGTGTGTGTGTACCTCATCTATGAAGGGAATGAGAACCACTGCTTCCCATTCCTGCTGCTTGCCATTAAGGTCAGTTTTAAAGTCCTGAGGGTAGTACTCAATAATGGGTGAATTTTCACTGGTCATCAGGTGCTGAAACAACAAAAACAGTATATTGTCAGCATTATTCTTTCACGTTTGGATCTTGCATAAACTCGCATATTGGCTATTTGCACAATATTGTTGCACGTGTACCAAGTCAAATCCAGAGATTAAAGAGATACTTTGGTATTTTTCAACCTGGAGCCCATTTTCCCATGTTTTTGTGTCTAAGTGACTAATGGACAACAGTTTTTGAAGTTGGGCCAGTACTGAGTGAGAACACTGAAGCCAGCAGCCGAGAAACAGGCTCCAAAGTAATCCTTGCGGGCTGCCTGTTTTTTGCCACTGACAGACTCAGATTGTTGTGATAAGTCGATCGAGGCAGCACATCAGAAACTGCTGTGTCCTGCGAGGTAAAACTACTGTTTTTGTCAGTGGAGTCTGGTGGCTATCAAAAGATTCTGTTAAAACAAAAAGGATTGTACTCTAAGAAAAATGTCTGTCTCTGTAGGGATCTTTTCCATAATGTTGTCAGACACTAGCAATCCAGGTTGAAAAATACCACATTTTCCCTTTAAGTGTGTACATATACTGTACATACAAATTATATGTGCATGAGTGTGTGTTTGGACAGGAGTGTGTTACCCTGTAAGCCTCAGGGAGAAGCTCCTTGCTGGCAGCAGGCAGGACTGCCAACAGCTGCTGGAAGGGCATGAAAGGTTTCCCGAGGTCAAAGGTCAGCTTTAACCCCGATATATTCCTGATGTCAGACAGGAAGGGAGCGTAGTGGTAGGGGTAGTACCTAGAGAGAGATTATTTAAAGACAGATTTATAACTAGAACAAACAGTGGTCTCATTATTGTCCTCAGTCAGTGATTTGTACATTCTATTCTATATGCTTTCCCACTGGAGGACTGAAAGACATTTCCCTGCAAAGCTACCGACTGAATAAATTATATGACTTCCCCAGGTCACTGGAATGAGAAGAAACAAAGAGTAGACAGTGAGTAACATGAGAAAGACAATCTCACCAGCTCCAGGATTGAACCCCGTGGTAATAGTAGTGGAGGATCCACTGGATACCTTCCACATAACACTTGGCCTGCTGGGCTAGAAAGTCACTGCAAATAAAAGAATAAAAACATATCTTTCTATGACACTTGTAAATTAATGTATGAGCATCGAATACTGTTTACAAATAATTTTCACATTTCTGTTTGACCGTACGTATGTCTATTCATGACTCACATACTCTCTCTAACCTGCTGAGGGTGTGTAAACTAAAAATGTACCTCAATGTCAAGAATCATTTTATTAACATTAATAACTGTAATCTACCCATACTGTCAAAAAGTTACTGCCCAGTGTGATGGGTGACCCTCAATGAGTTAATGCAAACTTTAACACTGTGTGTATTACTTCACCCTCAAGGTGGTGTTTGTGATGTGGGGATGAAAAAGCATTTTTTATGTTTGTCCATAATCTGCAAGCCCTAGCCCTGTCTCCTTCAGTAAGTCTCTGTGTGTATTATATGTGTGTGTGTGTGTGTGTGTGTGTGTGTGTGTGCGCGTGCGCGCGTGTGTGTCTATACACTTACTCAGACACCACATCCACGCCAATCTTGGTCATATAGTAGGTGCGCTTGTACTGTCTGAACTCCGTCTCAAACATATCGTCCTCCTCTTCCTCATCATCTCCTTTTCCTTCTCCAGTCACTTTGTCTGATGAGGTCAGAGCTGCCAGACAGAGGGCAGAGTCCTACACACAAAACAAATGATTAAATACAGGGATTTAATATACATATAGGGATACGTGACCAAAACTGTGAAAACAAGGAATCAATGTTTGTTTGGTTTATTTAATATTTTGGGATAACAGCAGACCTCTTTCTTGTTGGCGTCTTTGCTGGCAGCTTCCTTTTCCGCTGCCAATCCGGCCGCCTCGTTCAGATACTTGTTACCAACTTTACTCTCAAACCACTTCAAGTCCACAAACACCTCACTAAAATGTTCCCGGTCAAACTGGAGGAAGAGAAGGGAAGGAACAGTGTGACAGATTTAAACCATTATTTATGGTGGTTTTGTCCAATATATGCCATTATAGGATAATTCACTTAGAAACCCCATGTAATTTCATTCACTTTCACACTAACTTTATCACAGCTCTCTGCTGACTGAACTACTCATGCTCGTTACATTTATTACACGCACTAACACCTATTAATATGGCTCTTAAAATCAATAGTAACAGTTATCATTTAACAGAAAATATCACTGATAATATTACGTGTTGTCTCACCTCAGCAAGCTTCTCCAGATATTTCTCAAAGGTTCTGAGGTTTAGATGGCCGTTCTCATTCAGATAACCTGCGTCACAAAAGAGGATTCAGTTTTTATATGAAATACCTTACAGCAGCAGCTCATATTTCTATATTAGAATGCCTGACATGTAGAAACCAGTTGGACCAACACAAACCATACTTGATACTAACAACTGACTTTGGTAATATGGTACAAAAGGACATGGGTGTGTGTCTCACCCCCCAGGCTGGGCAAAACGCTGATGTAGGTCTTGTACAGCAACGGCAACGCGTCATGACTGATGTGAAGATGAGGGAGGTGAGGGATGAAATCGTTTCCCACTAGGAAGCCCATTAGAATCCAGTCGTCTATTATTCGCTCCAAGTCATAATCACAACCGATGTGATTCTGGAAAACACACATAAACATAACCAGAACACAGATTAACAAAGAATACAAAACAAAGCTAATGTCAGCAACACATTGGCTAACTAGCTAGCTATTCTACATCCCGTCGTGTACATTGATAGCGAGCATTTTGATAACATTTACGTCAACCATTATGTTTTGTTACATTAACCAAATTAACTTGACTACGTCGATTTTACCTTTAACCACCTTTAAAATGTGACTGTCTTTTCAACATAGATTATATAGCATATCTAAGTAAAAGAAAGGCAAAAGATGGCCATGGTTCTGAGCGAGGCTTGTTTAACTGTTACTGGAGAACAGGGGGGAAAGGGGCGGGACTTAGGAAAGGTCTATTGCACTGTTCACTCCATATTGTGTGTTTGTGTCTCACCCTGAGCTCAGAGAACTCATAGTCAATGTACTCCCTCATCAGAGACAAGTGAAGCAAGTGAAAAGTTGTCTCCTCTGGAGCCGTTATCCTGGAAGAACAGAAAAGAGCAGGGTTCACAATAACACTAAAAAAAAAAGCAGAAAAGAAAAGAAAACTACTATTCAAAAACTGATAAAGGAAAGAACCTTTTCTGGGATTTCTTTCCTCCAAAGCGGACCTCCTCTCTGAGCAGGGAGAAGTTTGGCTCATGGCTGGTTAAACCCAACATTATCTACAACACAAAGAGCAACACAGTGTGAGCACCCAAAGAGGGTTTGAGGATAATGCACATCCTCATCCAACTCCACAGGACACACAAACCCTACCAGGTCAGCATCCAGGCCATACAGGCAGTGTCGGGTGTTGGGGTTGTGATCTGGCATGGTGTTCTCAGAGCGAATAAACTCCATGATCTTATGTTCTCCCTCCCCTGGAGTCTGTGAAGAGGAGAAAGACAAGCTTTGTACAAGCAACACTGACTTTGGCTGCAGCAGAATCACACTGACTGAACAAGCTGAAACTGCAGTGTCCACTTTCTTTAAACCAGCTGTTAACACACCTCGTGACCGGACAGGTAGACTCGGACGTTCTGCCACAGCTTGTCAGTGGAGAGCTTGTTGTGGACAAAATACTTGAGCTGCTCCTGGAGTCTTGCCATGAAGTCAGTGCCTGGAAAAAGGGATGGGTGATTAAAGGAGTTGCTGCCAAATTTACACTCGATATGTTAGCACTGTATAAAATATGTCCATGCAAAAAACAACATCCTTTTACTGACAATAATGGCTGCATTAAAGAAGAAAATGCAGCTGCATTAAAGACCAACACACACACACACATATATATATAGTTGGTCTGCTTTGCTTTCACATCATGAATAATGCAAATTCCGCACCAAAGTGGCCCTGGACCCCCTCAAAGGTGGGTCTCGGACTGGTTGCTTAGTTTGATTTGATTTTCACACCAGACAAAACAAACCGAACCAAAACAGGCAAACGCAAAGCTTCAGCAGAATTCTGCCACTTGTTAATGTGTGAAACTGTCCCAGATGGCACCACTTTATAGCATATTGATGGCAAACCTGGTAATGGCTTGCTGGAGTGTCAGTGAAAAAAATGACAAATGTGATTCCAAATATATCTAGAAATTCAATATAATCATCCAAAATAATTTGGAACAGTTTTCCTATTAATAGAAAGTTAGAAAAAACTAATTTCCATATAAAAAGAAAAGGTATTGTTATCTATTCATCAGTTTTAATGTGTGATGTTCATCTTGAGCAAAGCGTTCCTACCAGGAGTAATACAGTTGGAGTCGAAGCGAGCCTCAGTGGGAAGCACCTCTCCTTTATCCAGAGCTTTTTTTATCTTGTCCTCTGCTTCTTTAGCGGACCTAGACACACAGACACCCACCCACCCACACACACACACACACACACACACACACAAGCAGATATGAAAGAGAGCGGGTCAAACTCACAGTCTCAGGCTGTTATGCTGCCTGTCGTCTGGTTTCTTCGGTCTTTACCAAAGCAAACACTGCATTTTAGTTCTAGTCTGTTTGGGGCTCATTCTGCCTTATTAGGCGGGTTTGCAACAGCGGTACCACAAACATCACTGCTTAACCACACAATTACACCAGACATTGGATTCATAGATTTGCAAAGAGTTTTGATCTTGATCAGATAACTAAAAGAGAATTGGGTATTATTTACTCTTGAGCTTCAACATCATGGTGCAAACATGTTCATAAAATTCCATTTCTTTATTTGGTCACAACAAGAAAAGCTGCAACGAGCTAAGTTTAACCATTCATATTCATGTGACTGAGATTGAGAGGAAATACATTTGCGGGTGAGAGGGCTAAAAGTTTTTATATAATAATACATTTTGGTATTAGCTATGGCTGTTACAGCAACCTGTGTTCACCCTTTCACAACAAAGCCACACAAACATTAAATTCAGGTCAGGAACAAGGTCATGGAGCTGATGAGGATTCTGGGTGTCACTCTTTACAGCAACAGAGGAAAGAAAGAATTCCTCCATGCTCCCTTTCATCCATCTCTACCTGAATCTCCGTCCTCTCTGCTGGTTCATCTTTGCCCTCGGTGCCACGCCGTCCACCGCCATGAAGAAGACCTTGCGAGGCTTGATGATCCTGAAGAGCACCTCCAGGTAATGGAAGATGTCGGCAAAAATCTTTTCCTCAGAAATGCGAAAGTGGACATCTTCGTCGTTGGGGTGGGAACACTGATGGATAATCCCGTTCATGTCCAGATAGAGATTGTCAAATTCTGGAATCTGAACGGTGAAAAAATACAAACAAATGCAATTACTATGTATAATAATAAATTGTACAGCTGCACGATATGGTAAAAATAACAATATTTTGACAAATTATATGATTGCGAGTTAGTGGGAATGATCATTTTTGCATCACAATTTTCCTTTTCACTGAAAAACCTCTTAAAATCATTACGACTATACGAAACAACAACGTGGCCAGTTTTTTTGTTGTTCTTTTTTCACCCTTTTGTGCTGGTGCATGTATTTGTGGGACATTTGTGCCAGTGCTGGAAAATGGAAGTGATAATTTCTCCAATGTCCAAGTAGGGAACAACCAACACAACCTTTAGCCAGTGCAATATTGACGTGAGACAACAGATAAACATCGGCCACTGTAAGCAGTGAATGCAATCTTATTTGCCAATGGGCCGATGTTAGTCAACAAAGCATATAATGGTGCATCCCGACTTTTGTTGGGGTCTGTACCAAACGAACATGTTATTTTACATCTGGAGAAACAACATCTGTAGGCCAGGGCTACTCTGCAGTAGTACAGGATTTCATCATAATGCTGTTTTGTCACACATATTACCTTTATCAAAGGAAACGGCCACATTGTCATTCTGATAATATTTAAATGAATTGTGTAGTCCTAATAATTTTTAAATATATTCTGCAATACTCCTGTGAAATGACCAGTTTGTAAAGTCTATTAATGCCTTGACTGTCTGGAATAAATCTCTCAACAATAGAAACGTTTCTGTTTTGTTTGCACATACCGAGGGGGTCATCACATGACAGACTGTGGGAGCCATAAGTGAAAGGGTCAACTCATCTTTGTCAGTCACCAACAGGGTTCCCACTCTTTAGAACAAATCATTTCCCAGGACATTTTCCCAGATTTTTATATGACAATACAGGACAGAGCTTTCTTACCAACGGTCATATTAAGCTGTGCTTTCAGGCAAATTGATTACATTAATTAAGTAAGCCCATAAGTAACAGTTCAAATCAGGTAGAGTTTATACAATTTGACATAAAATTCATCTTCTAGAAAGTTAAATTGTTCATTACGTGTACAATTAACATCACTGTGCATGTATATATATCAGCCACAGCAGCAGAAATGTTATCACTACTAGGCTGTATGTATGTAGATAAGAGAATTGTGTTCAGCTTAAGAAAAAAAATATATACTCATTCCCGAAAAGATCACTGCAAGTGAGTTCCACATTGCATCTGGTGAACCCGCTCTGAACTGTCATACAGTTTATCCAAGCAAAGGCTTGAGTTTCAAACAACATTTACACCTATGTTTGCGTAGGCGATCTGAGTGAGGGGCTGAAATACAAACATTTCCAGCACAACATAGACTATTTGCAAGATATTTGGTCATTTTAATCCATTTGCAGGTGTTTCAATGACTGGAAAACTACTCTGTAAACATCAAGGTTTTGCAAGACGTGTGGGAACCCTGACCAAAAGAATTCTGCCCCTCCACCCTTATACAAAGAACCTTAGAATCCTCTCCCATAACATTCACATGTTTCCTGTTTGAAAAGGTTACTGTGGATTGACCCCAAGTATCAGAAGGTCATACAGCACATTTTCCACATCAGCTTCTATCAAATATAAAACTGTCCTTTATATTGTGCTAACCTAACGCACATATGAGAGCAGTCTTACGCAATGAGAGTGACACTGAGCAACGACCAGCTGATGAAACTGCTGCTCAAACACTGAAATACTATCTTCCTTATTACAGGAAAACTAGGTCACTAAAGTCCACTCCAGAGAGCCGAAGTAGCCTAAATAACTAACATAAGTAATGTAAGGTTAACTAAAATGTTTACTAAAACGTATCAACTACAGGCTTACGACACAATTGCTGCGTTTGAACCAACTTAAGCTAGCTGCAGCCTGTTGTAAAGTTGGGTTATTATTGGTTAACAAAGACCTAAAGTACCGGCTGCTAACACATTCACTAAGTTATGTTCACTTTGACCTGTTTAACGTTCAAATGTGTAACTTGCAGGTAGAAGCCCAAAATGGAAAGCTAGTTAGTCTTGGGATTTGGCGAATAACATTTAACACGTTATAATAAATAATGGAGTCCAAAGTGTTTGGCAACAAGAGAGCCGTCCTGTCGGCGGGGGAAAACTTTGGTAAGCCTCGCTGAATCAAAGTTGTACGGCCCGCTTCACTTAACGTTAGCTCGCTGATAGCCAGCAGCTAGCTGAGCTAACGCCGCGGCTATCAGCGACAGCGGGTTGTGAAGCTAACGATGTTCAGCCCTGGGTTTCCTACCTGGTGCTCCTTCACAACTTCACTGAGACAGGGATAGCGCTCCGAGATCCATCGGTAAAACTTCGGTACTCCCATCTTCAACACGAAAGTCTCAACCTCTGGGTGAAATCAGTCCACAGTCAGCACTGAGAGGAGATGTTTAGCTACGTGGTCGAGACTGAACCGGGTAACATAAGAACTTGAATCTGGTTTTGTTTCCAACGGCCGCTCACTAGCTAGTTGTCCGTGGTCCGTCTGCTAAAACATTCCGCCGCTGCTGGGAAAACAGTCGTTCCATGTTTTGTTCCCGATCGACCGTGTGCCTGCCCCCTCCCCTCAGTTGTCTCTACGGATTCCCGCCAGAAAATAAATGGAGAAGGTGGAAAAAAATTAAATAATAAAAAGCCCAAAGTCATTGAGAGGTTATAATCATGACATTGCTTTTCCTTATATGATAATATTATAATTTTCACTTGATAAAAGTCAGAATTATTATTGAATTGAGAGATAAAATCTCCTTTTGACATAGGTTCTGGGTAAAAAATATTCACTTAGCATCTCAAAATAATGACTGTGACTCTAAGTCAATATTTTCAGATGCGTTTCTCATTATAATGACATACAGAATATTTCTCCAATGTCACATTTGCAGAAATGGGCTCCCATACTAGAAGGACCTGTCTGATAAGTAAGACAAAAGGAGTGATGACTGTAGCACTGCTTGCCTTTCTCAAACAATGAAAGTGAAACAATATGTTTCCTACAGCTGCCACTAGATGTTATTGAAGAGTCATATTTCACTGATAGTGCCTTACCAAGGTATATTTACGGCTTGTGACAGGTCCTAGCAGGAGACTTGCAGATGAATTAATAATTGCTGCATTCCACTTAAGGGAGGTCCTGCTTTCGGCCGCGCTCCCACCGCAGGCCAAGTTGACCCAAATACGATTTTTTTGCTCACATGTGACTCAGATCTGACTTTTTTGTGATAGTGTGAACAGCACAAATCACATGGAGTCAGATGTATTCAATTCTGATTCGTGCTACTTTCATATAGGGTCCAAATGGGATTGTAGATCAGTCTAGACCGACATTCATCATGTGGGTCACTTCATGACCGTGACCTGTTCACACTGGAATCTCATATAGGCCACTATTAAAAAGTAATGTGAAGAGCCAAACAAAAAAATCTCATCCGAGCAATAAATGAGAATGGAGCGCTGAGGCTTGCAGTGTGAACGTAGCCGGGCTGGTTCACGGTCACTGTCACTGGGACACTTAATGGAACAGAGCTGTCTGGTACTGTTTTTAATTCCACCTGTTGTTCCTGCTGAGTCCAAATGTCTGCTGTGCAACCAGTCCATTAGCCATAGCCATTTGGACATGACTCAATTATAAACAGACATGCTCGAAATGATTAACACATGAGTTGGAAAGGGTTTTTAAAGATTCATTTTAAATTTAAAAAAAATATTTCTTCACTCACACACACTCACACACACACACACACACACACACACACAGGGCTTATAGACATGCAAATGTGGAGAGATGGGCTGCCATGTAACACCAGCCTGGGAGCTGATAGAGGCTTGGTACTTTGCTAAAGGGCCCCTGGCTAGCCACCAGTCCACACTCTACACTGCGGTCCAAGTCCCTGCAGACTGAGCTGCTTCCATCCCCAGGAGGTACTTCTAAAGAAATAATTAAATGTTACGTACGGTTCATAGCAAACAGGATATTCATTACTGGTACAACCTAGAGGTCTTTATTGATGAACAAACTAACGTGTGTGTGTGTGTGTGTGTGTGTGTGTGTGTGTGGAAATGAACAGTTATTATGAAGTTCCTGTAAACACATCCACAGGCAAAGACAAGCCTGCAAACAAACACACACCATGCTAATTCCGAGCCTTGATTGTTATTCTGTTTTCTCTGTGAAACTTTGTGTTCACAGTTCAGAATCTTCATTACTCATGAAGTTATGGAAAAGGGAAAGGTTTATTTGCTACATATCCTTTTATTGGTGGCGAGAATAAAATGATAACTTTATCTTGGCTCAAGCCACTGCCTACAACAATGGCAAGACAGGTTAATGGAAGAAATAACAGCATAACTCCTGACTTAGTTGTGAATTTGGCCAAAACTAACATGTTTCTTTTTGTTTTTATTATATTTATTGATTTATTTTTAGACTCTTCTCTGTGTCCATGTTTGTTTGCCGAGCTGCAAACAGTTTTTTCCCCCCCCTGACAATGGAGCTGTTTAATTCAAATGTGCAAGTATAAATAAACATTTTATTCAAAGAAGAAAAAATTTGCATGAAGTTGAGTCCCCGTTGAGACCAATGATCCTTTGTTTTCACAAACATCACAGAAGACTGCAGGAAATTTCCTGAGGAACTCGGAGCCACAATGGAAGCATCTTGCGGTAAGAGGTTTCACACATGAAGCTGAACAGCCGCGGGGTTGAGATGACATTTAATGGCTCTCTGGTGTTTCGGCTAATACGGACATGTTCTGGGAGACTGAAGATTTAACAGATTACCATTTCACACAAGGCTCAAACACCCCATATGAGAGCCATTACCGACAGTAAACACATTACTGAGTCCTACAAGTTCAGTCAAGAGAATCATTGAAGTGCCAAAAATATCTAATAAAAATGTACCCAAACATGACAAAATTGTTTCGAAATAATTTATTCAGTTATACAAATACAAAACACCTCTCTCACTCAGTTATCATAAAATAGGTAGGTCTTGGCGGTGTTTACCAAATCCTCTTGATGTCAATGTTGTCAACATGGACCAGGCCTCCACAGTTGTTGTTGAAGCTCAGTTCCTACAGTATGTGAAGAGTAATTCCATTGCTACTTTAAAAGAACTAAATCTGTGAGGTTCTCATTTTCAACCAACAGCTCACACACGTGGAAAAATAATCCAGTTCGATGTAGCATTGCAGATCAATGCCTCAAGTTACACTGATTAGACAAACATGTCAACTCCCATTAAGTTCTGATAGTGACAGAAATACATTTTCCATAATCCATTGGTCTTCCTTGATTTCCATACACTACCTCACATTCTACACTCTTAAGCCAAAAAGGGAACTGATGATATGCCTGACAGAATGAAATTCAAGTCATATTATTAAAACAGCTTTCTCTCAATCTGAAAAAACACAAAAAACTACACATAAAGGGGGGAAACAGTGACAAACAATGAGGGGGGGTTAAAAGCTTCTTGTGAAGACAATTTTTGCATGTCGTTTGTCTTGTGCTTTGGCCTTTAAAAGGGAAAATGCATCACACTAGTAGCGTTTGGCTGGATGTACCCTTGAGAGCGACAGCTTAATTAAAAAAAAGGTACAAGTTTTGATTTGACCTAAAACCATAAAGAGGTGTTCTATTGTAGCAGATATAACTTTACTGAAAAGAAACAAAAATGCTTTCTAAAGTCTCTTGTTCCATTTGTGCCCAAACTAGGTCCTCGGTTTTTTTTTTGTCGCAGTAAAATGACAGTGCATCTGCTCCTGCTATACTGATGCACTGCTCCAAAGTCTTTACTGCTGTCTGAAATTTGGAGCTTGTTAAAAGAAGACAGCTTCAGTTCTTTTCAGCTCTCCCAGTGTTGTCGGGTATCCTTGTTCAGCAGGCAGCCTGGGCTCTCCCTGCATCAGACTGATCCTCTGCCGAACAAAGAGGCTGACGGAGGTTCTGTCGCACGCTGAAGACGTGGTGGACCTTCAGACGAGCTCAAGTACCTGCGTGGAGAGAAAAATGGAGATTGTATGATATCTGTGGCTCGCTGCTGTCACCAATGAGCACAGCCACTGCTTTGATATGTGATAATCTGTATTGCTGGAGGTATAAAAAGGACAGTTTAACACTTCTGATCGCCCCATTAATTCCTGGTATAGGACACCTACATAGTAGTCCCATTGAAATGTCTGTTCATCGTTCTAAATTAATGCGCTGAAATAAATAAATGAAATAATAAATAAATCTGAATATCTTATTTTCAACACTGAGTGTAGTCCTTCAGTGCCTCATCCTCTGAACACCACAGGATGGCGACTGTAACACACAAGCTGCAAGAAGTACACTGCCCCTCTGAACTCACGGATACTTTGTATAAGCGATCCTCTCACACAGCTGAGCCAAAGGGTTCAGTGAGCTGAGTGAATTAAGATCACCTCTCGTTGCCAAGTCGTATCTAAGGTTTGTCCTATTTACTGGAGTGGTGAACAATGTCAGGCACTGCAAGCGCAGGCTGTGTGGCCCAAGGGTCAGGTGTTACCAGGGAAACAGGGTTATGGCTTCTGATGACTGATCGACTGCATAATGCAGGAAAATATAAATGATTGGTGTTCAACGCTGTGCATTGGGCAGTTCTGGTGTCCCGTTGTCCATTAATTCCTGATGATGGACACCTCATAGGGCATTCAAGGAAGGAAATTTTAAGTTCAGTAATACAGACTAAGTGGACGCAAGGCTGGAAAATCAGCTTTGCTCTGTTCTATATACTATATAGTCTGGACACGGAACCCCACATAAACCAAATAAACTATATAATAGCTCCTGTTGTTTCAGGCTCTACAGTCCAAGTCTGAAACTCTGATACAATATAAAAGAGAGACAATTTAAAAAAAGGGTTTGGACATTAACGCTACTGCTGCTACCCTGTACAACGAAGGTGATAGGCATTTCTTTTTATTGTACTTCAAGCATCTAGAAACTATGGTTTACATATTGACTTTGTGTGAGGTGCAGGTTGCTGTTGTATAAGACCTTGATACAGTGTCATAAAATCAATTCGTTGTTTGTCATTTTTCAAGCAAAAACATGGAAATTGTTGCTAGATGTAACTACAACAACAGCAATCTAGCACCTTACACAGGTGGCCTGTGGTTATTACATCATCATGATTCATATGCAAGTTAAAAAACAAACCTTGATTGTTCCTTGACTGTTTGCAGCAATCAGTACATTTGACTCCTGAAAAACAAAGCATCGTTAATAAAACACAACATATGACAATATTACAATTTGTTTAACAAATCGTGACGTGGAAAGATTAGTATTGTGAGCCAAGAATAGCTTAATTCCTATAGAGTGGAATTTGTCTTTTCATAGCTCAAACATGTTACCATTTTGACAAGAGGTGGTGCACATTAACATTGTCTGAGAATACAACAATAATAAACCAGTTGGTGTAATCTTCCTTCTAGTACAGCACATGTAAAATGAACAACAACAGTATAACTGAGGTGAACTCACTCCATCAGGCAGGGCTCTCCAGCACACAGCGCTCACAAACTCATTGGTGTCGTCCTCCTTCTTGTCCTTGTCCAGGACGCTCTTCACTGTGTCGAACTTGAATGTTAACAGTGTCTTGGAAAGTCCTTTGTAGTATAAGTACAAGGAGTTGTTTTCACTGCCTGTACAAGCAGACAAACACACGTTTAGATTCTAATCATTTTAAGTTTGGTATGTGTGTAGTTACAGGGAGCCCCTGCACGGCTGAGCAAATATCAAGTTAATGTCGTGTTACGGATTCATTTGCGACATGGTCAGACCAGACTTTTCTTTCACAATCCTTACCACAGGCAACATAGTCTCCATTGGAAGCCAGGCCTACAAAGTTCTTCTCGTTGATGTGACCCTTGAAGGAGCGCAGGCAGTGGGGTTTGTTGACGTTCCACAGCTTCAGCTGACTGTCTGTTGAACTGCCAATTAAAGGGTGTTAATCAGTCAACAACTGGAGGTTTGGTGAGGGTAAAATATCTTTCACTAATGTGTGGCAGAACATTATCAATTGTCAACGTGTAAATCATGTGTTTTTGTTAAATCCATGAAGAAAACATAAATGTGTGTCAGCATTAGTATCAGTACAGTAACACTGTTCACATAAAGGAGTTTGTATAGAGTGCTGCAGGAATGAGTCATATAACCTGGAACTGAGTTAGCATTTTAGCACAGTGGGTTTTTTCATGTTTTGTTCTACAACATAAAAATTGTCAGTAAATACCCCACCTCGGAAATATAAAGCCTTAACGTGGTTGCTAACAAGTAGCTAAATGAGACTACAGAGGTTTTGACATTAAATGTCAGCGTGCCTAACAAGGGGACTTACCCCCTGACTGGTCCGTCTTTACAGCCTCGGTGGGTTTATACCCGCGCTCTTGCAAACTATTCTAACTCAAACTTCCCAACTTGTAGATGTTAATTATTTACACAATTAAAAGATATTAATTTCAAGATATTTGTCAAGATTATCTTTGTGCATCTGCCCCGTGATTGGGATCCACCCCAAAAATGAATGGGTTCTTACTCGGCCCATGCTACACCCATTAAGTTTTATAAAAATTGGGTCAGTAGTTTTTCCCTCAACCTGATGACAGACGGCACCAAAAACATATCGTCCTTGGCGGAGGTGAAAATATACTACTGTTAAAAACAAGGCTAAACTGACTTACGCAGAAACAATTTCCTCTCCGTTGACAAACTTGGCGTAGGACACTGCCTTCCTGTGACCTTTGAACACCATGATTGGCTGCTTAGTGTTGCGTAGATCATAGTAGTGGACACAGTGGTCTGCAAGCAAAGAAAAAGATGGTATGCGTTCACAAGGGAGAACACACGAGGTAGGTGTCCTTCATAACTGGAAACAACTGTCAGTCATATCCAGGAACCAACGAGGCAGGCAGCCACGGTGAAATGATGGTGCAATGCCTTTGTTGACATTTGCTGAAATGTGTGTTTCTTACACTCCATCAAGTCTGTTTTTGAATGAATGCTACATTATGCTTGCTGACTTTTATTCCAGTGTCCTAACTTTACTCCAGACAGCAAACCCAACAACTTCAAGGTCAAGGAGAGGTTTCATTTTCCAGGCTTAGAGGACTTGGACCTTAGAGACACAGGGAATGGAGTAAATAAGCCGGGGGAAATTCACAGCTGGAGTTTATGTGCTGCTCTGCTCATACAGCGTTAGCTACGTGAAGGACTGTTCTGTGTACAAGAGAATATTTCTAATTCTTATTTCTCTCTTTTGGGAGAGTCATGAATGAAGTTTTCAGAAGTTTCGTCTGGACCACCAGAGTCCGTGCGACCACAAAAGAAATGTAGTCTACAAGGAAAGACTGTAGTGGTGTGAGGTGTTGTCAAGAGTGCAACAACAATAATACATCACAACAAGAGAAAAACAAGATTCTTTGCCTGAAAAGAGACACATTCTCATGTCTTTTCCTCCTGTGGACAGATCCTGTAGTATAACCTCTAAGCCTACTCATACACCTTTGCACATACTGAAATGTATTACAATAATTGTTTGCATCAGTAATCAACAATGACTTTACAGGACAAAGACCACACAGGTCTGCAGTCAATCCTGACCTTACCTGCACAGCCAAAGGCCAGATGATACCTGGAGGTTGGACTGAATTTTACACAGCAGACATTGGCCTTGGCCTCGATGCTGGCCACCGAGTTATCAAGATTGGTTGACCATAACTTCACTGAAACGCAAACACAGACATGTCAGCTATTTTACTGGGGGTAAAATAGGGATGGAACAGAAGCTGGGGAGGTAGAGGAGGATTTATGTCTGAAAACCCCTCAGACGTAGTATTCCTCAGTTACCTTTAGCATCATCAGAACCGGAGGCTAAGAGCTTGGGGTCCATCAGATTGAAGTCAACACTCCAACACCTTTTTTCATGTTCCTGAAAAAGGAGAGGAAACCTTAAAAATGGTATTATACATTACTGATGAAATAGATACTTTAAAACAATCAGTGTAGTCAAATGTGCAGTTTGCTATTGTACAGTATTAATAACTCCACTAAAGAATGGAAATAGAGCCCTCATCATGAAAAAGTGATGCTCTAAGACTTATCTATCATACCTGGTAGACTTTGGACCTCTGGCCAGTGAATCCATCCCACAGGATGACAGTACCTTCGTAGTCACTGCTGGCCAGAAGGTTCTTGTGATAGCTGCTCCAGCTGATACAGCTACAACAAACAAGGTTCCGATCACTTTCACTTTAAGTTCACGCAGTTGGTCACATTCTTAATGAGTGCTTCATTCACCATTTCTTTTGACTACCGACTTTGGTTTTTACAAATCTATGCCACAGAAAGAGCATTTTAGGAAACACAAGCTGAACAAACTTACAGCTCATCCCCTGGCAGTGATGGAAAGTAACCAAATATGTTTAATGAAGTATTGTACTAAAGTACAACTTGAAGTTCTTTTTTAGCTTTCTGCTACCTTTCTGCTATCATACATGTTACTCCACTTCATCTGGAGTAGTGTTCATGTCATGATTTTACTAAAAAAAGATGGAAAGACACTTTGGGCAGGTGACCTGAAGGCAGCTGATGGTTGAGTTTCATTACCAGCATCGATATTTAACGACCTGGAATGAGACTCACGATGAACTGTCTTTCTCGGCTCTGATTGGTTGTTTTTGTTCAGGCCCGGTGGATTCTTGCAAATTCCATTAGGAGCACTAAGAGGAGCCAGAGGTAGCTATTTTTTTCCCAGATTATCCGTTTCATGCACTACTGTCAGGACACAGTGAAAGTTTCAGCAAAACTAACAAAAAGTTATTTTTTATAAAAACTACCTACTGCAGCTTTAAGTGAAGTCTTGTATGACTTTAACTTGTAGAGTAGTTTTACAGAGTGGTATTGCTACTTTTACTTAAAAGGTGGGGTCAGTCATTCTGGAGAATGATTCCAGCAAACTGGGAGCACAAACACCACCTGTTTGTGATGTGTGGCTCACTCCAAGCCACTTTGGTGGTTTCACATTTTCCATAACTCACAGTGTCGGTATTTGACAACCAGGAAATGAGACTCAACAATCAACTATCTTTCTCCAGAATGACTGACCTCACTTTTAAGTAAATATATGAGTACTTCTTCCACCACTGTGCCCTGGTAAAACAGTAATATAGGTACATGTTCTTTTTTCTTCTTTGTGCTATTATGGACTTATGTAATAACAGATGACTTATGTCACATAATGTACTTAATACAAATACATTTTATTTTGTAAATGATGAAACAAGGGGTCAGCAGATTTAGCCTTCATCATCTGGGTGACAAACAGTTTCTCTCGTGGGTTTACAAGGAAATCAGCACCACTGCCAACACGGCACTGTAGGATCTGAAACATGTCCACAAGTCCAAAATGACTTCCCCTACCTGATTTTGGAATTGCAGGTCATTTCGTTAACAGGGTAGTGGATGTCCACTGCATCCTGGATCACTGTGCCGTACTCAAACACCTTGATCTTCTTGGTCACTCCAGCAATGGCAAAGTAGTCACAGTCACGGTCAAACTCAATACTGAAACACAGGTCAGAACAGTGAGAGGGCTGAAAAAATACTGTTTCTGTGAATGCAGCTCGTTACAAAAAACATTCTATATCTATTCTATATAACAATCTATTCTATACAAAATGTTAATAATCACTCTGAGCGATACACTAGTTTGCCCTTTTCCTTTTTGTACCTGGAGACAATACTGGAGCCGTTATAGAGGTCACTGGCGTACGAGAGGGTGGCGAGTGGCCGCACAGAATTGTAGCGAGTGAACTTAGACAGGCACTCCATGAAATCATCCAGCTGGTTCAGGTTCCTGCCCTCATCTGTACACAAGAGACAAACATTATTCAAATACTCTTCACAAGGAGCAATGAGGACATGGACTATATACTGTGTGTTGTGGAAAAAGAGGGAAAATATAAGCGTACTGAATGAGGAAGGGGTTCCTTGTTACATTTTACAGCAATTTATTCTTATCAGATCAATATAACAACCTCATATATACTTATGTCCTTGCTTCATGCAACTATAGGCCCATCTAATGATGTACAGAATCAGAACAACAGATATCAGACTGCAGATGTTTCCAGACAAATTTCTGTTGTAATGTGGACAACAACTGTGAGAGAACCACGCCAGCGTTCACTAACTGCTTAGTACCTGTGATGCGTGACATTTTGTTGGAGAAGTAGCACTGCTCTAGATCCTCAAAATGAGCAGTCAGCCTCTTCCTCCTTGACGCCAGGGTGCTGTTGTACCAGGTCTGTCTCTTGCCCTGGCAAAACAACCCCAAGTGTTTAAGAGTACAGTCAAGTCAGTGCTAAACTCATACTGACTTCTATTCTTTAAAAAGTAAATATAGTTTTACTGTGAATTTTGGGGTTACTTTAATATCCATTCTGACTATTGCAGTGTCTGTGAAGACATTTTTTTATTTATTTTTTTTAAATAGTGGAGAAACTTTTTCTCAAGAGGGCAAAAACAACGGCCTACATCCTTATCACAAAAAAAAAAACTTAATTAAAACTTTAATAAAAGCAGTGGAAATAAATAGTTAAACAGACTACACTTCTGTAGGCCTGTCACCATAAGTACTTTTGTTGGACGATATATTGTCCCACAAATAACTGCAACAAACGATATTATTGTCATTTTAAGACCATTCTATGCCACTGATATAATGATTCAGACATGTAATGTGAAAAAAAAACATTGAACACAAAAATCCTAAATAAATTAAACATTAAGGTACTGCTCTCAAGTCTAATGATGATAGGAAAACCCTGCTGTCTATTCTGGCATCATGTTGGGTAGAGTGTTGGTGGCATTCTTATGTAAACAAAGATGCATGTAAACACATCAGGCAACACAGAGGTCAGCAAAAATTTGCCATTAGTCATGTCCATATATTGCATGAGTCGATAACATAATTATCGTGACAGGTCAACCGGCAAGATGATGAAAATAACAGACGTGAATCTCAAAGAGGGTTAGAGATGGATTCAAGAGCAATCAGTCACACAGCATGGGTGTTTCTCTGACATACCTGGGTTGTTCCACCAAATCCTGGAGGCTGGCTGTAGTCTGGTGGGTCAATAATACTACTGCAGCTACTCAACAAACAAACAAAAAAACAGATAGACAGATACATACAGTGAGACATGTGCTTTGTTATCAGCTCCTTCATAAAAGGTATAGTAGTTATTAAAAAAGCAAAAAACTAAATATCTGCTGAGAATGGGTTTGGTTGAGTGTGGTTGGTTGGATGATTTACTGAGTACTGGTGTACCTGGGTGCTGGTGAGGGAGCCTCGACATTAGGCACCGTACACTCGGCCTCCATCATCGGAGAGTACAGCCCGCTCATTTCCTGGAAAAAGACAGTTATAACATGTTTGTCTATCTTAAACTGTGATAGACAAGATCATGTGATTTCATAATCCTGCGTGCTGCTCCTTTACCTTTCCGTTTAGAACATACTGCAGCGTAAAAAAGGGGTTTGGTAACGCATGACTTTACCTCAACACGCTTAATGTCCTCTTCGAGAAAGTTGAGCTCTTTCTGTAGCTGCTCCAGTTGCTGTTGAGAGAACCAGAAACACAGATAAATATATGCCTGCATGTAGACGTCTTTAAAATCATTTCACAACATCATGTTGTTTTGTTTTTGTGTGTGTTTGTATGCTTTATTTGTACCAAGGATGAGTTTTCTCCAATACATAAATATTTTCTATTTTCAATTATTCTTGAAAATTGCACTGTGTTCCTAACAGAGCAGTTTGTGTACCTCTCTCTTGTTTCTCCTGGCTTCTTTAAGGAACTCCATGAGGATTTGTCTTTGAGCTGCTTGGGATTCCTAGTGGAAAGACGGACAGACATGCATAACCTCAAACAACTGTGAGTGAAGCTGCAGAACACTTTGCTTATCCTCTAAAGACATAATGTCATAGAAAAAAAACTTTTTTTAGTCGCCAGTGGGGAAAACATTTTGAACACTATAGCTCTAGTCCCAATACGTGTTCATTCCATTTCTAACATCTGTTTTTGCTAACAAGAGTAAAATGATGTAGAAAAGCCACTTTAAAGCTTATGATTGTACACAGTCTGAAATTCACACACACACACTCACACACACACACACACACACCTCACACACTTACACACACACACTTACTTCCCAGGAGTGGAAATAATGAATTACTATAACAAAGTTGTATGTTGTCTACTTGTACTTTTACTCTAAAGGTACTGTGTTGAGTTTTTAGTGGATGCCTGAATATGACCTTAAATGTCCAAACAAGACCACCAACGATAAGATGAGCTGCTTATATTTCCTCTACACTGAGAATGAATGCGCAAGGAAGTTAAACCCAGAGCAGATTGTGGAAGACTTCACGGAGTGCACGCGGAAAATACAACAGCAAATTCACTGGTGGCTCTAACTTAGCCTCCAGAGGCAATCTTCCTCTGTATTTTCTGGAGTGGGCATTTTACTTTTACTTAAGTAAAATCAAAGTTATAGTACTGTTCTACTACCCTTTCCATCCCTAGTGCTTCCATTCAAACTAAAGTGCTGTTGCGAAGAAAAGAATTATGAAAATGAGGCACAGATTATTAGGAGAAAATATGTTATTCAATTCAACTACAGGAAACAATCTCAAACCCAAGGGTTTATGGGTGTTGGAAGATGATTTTTGACAACTGTGGCTACAAGTTTCTCATGCTTTGAATGTCTGGCATAACTAAATTAACCAAGAGCAGGAAGTCAACTCATATTTTGGACTGTTGCTCTTATTTGGCCATTTCTTTATGCGGTCTAAACTAATACAAACAGCAGAGAAGGTAAGCAGCAGCATCCACTGCAGATATTTCCATCAGGATTTGCTTAAAGGCTCAGTCCTTGATGAAACTCCACCACCATTATCACTCACAAAGGGAGTAAAGAGGAACTTGTAAAGGAGTAATAAAGGCCAGTATTTCTAATCTTGTACAGTGGTTTCCAACCCGAGGGACTTGGCTTCACGTGGCGGTCGCAAGGCTTTCTTGAGTTTAGGGGTGTAAGAAAACTACTACTACAGACAGAGAATTGAACTCTATGTGCAAATTACCACCAAAACTGCCACCAAATGCAATCCCTACATGTAGATCTGAAATATCTAACTCACAACTGATATATTAAAATGAATGACCACAACATACAAGTCAGAAAATGATTTGGCTTGTGGGTATGAATGGTAGGGACATGGCCCTACCAGTTTGAAGATGCTGCTCAAACATCCCTACCAATATTATACTGACTCAAACAATCTCTTCATTTTATGTCCTCGTAGTGTTATCAGGCCTGTGTGTTTCTGCAAAAAGTGGAGTGTGAAAGGGCGAGATACGGGGGATACCTGACGATCTGGCAACCTTTTTAAAGGTGTACTGCGCATTGTGGATTTTGCCATCCAAGAGGACAACAAGCAATCATGTTGCTGTAGTAAACAACTTATTTCAAGCCTGTGTGTTTTCCAAAGCCATAGATGGAGAAGTCTGACACCTAATCAAAACCTGATGTGTGCCTATAAGCAATATCATGGATTACCATGCAGACTGTGCAGCTGCTAAATTTATATTGTTTTGTTTCCTGTGTGCCCACAGCAAGAAGAAGAAGAAGAAGACAACGGTTTATTGAACAACTATGAGGAAGGACAGGGTGGGTGAAATGTATCAAAAACTGTCTACAGGCTGATGTCATCATACCAAAAACATACACACATAAAGAAGAGTTAAGGAGAGACTGGGAGCAAGTGTTTACCAGAACATGACTCAAACATATCTGTTTTGCAGTTTCTCGTTCCTTATCGACAGACAGAATACACAGTTACCAATGAATGTGCAACAGGCTATCAGTTACTGGTCTAGTGGTTTCTATGACAGCCAAACAGAGAGACACGTGCATGTGTTTGTGTGTGAAGGAGACAGAAATAAAGATAAGCATGTGTTTGATGGAGAGAAAGGTAAAAGGTGGAGCTCCCTCTGGAAGGCAATCTCAACAATGTGAACAACTGTTCACATTGTTTACGGTTGAAAAAAAGAAAAGAAAAGAAAAACAGTTCAATGTCTCCTCCCATGTGAGGCGAGTCAAGGATTGTCAACCGCTATGCCTGCTGACACTCAAAGACAGTGCTGATGTGACACAATACAAGTCAACAGGATAGGTTGGGGCTCTTACTTCTCTTTTCCTATGAGAGGGATTGTCAAAAACAATACAAAAAGGGGATGTTCCAGGCTATTCCGACAGAGTGATGTGCAACAGGTTTTACTCAGTGTCTGTGTAATCCAGGAAACACACATATCCACTGCCACAATGCCCATATCAACCATGACTAAAATCTTTTAACACTGCCTGAAGCATCTCCCTGCAGGAATATGTACAGAGCCCAGCGTGATGTACATGTTTCTGAGCAACTGCTGAAGGCCCATCTCCTTCGTTTGTATAAAACTGTTATGATGCTGGGATTTTTAGAAGATTCCTTTGTTGTCCCTCCAGAACACAATGTGGAGATGCTTTTGAAATCTTTTATATTATTAAATATATTCTCTTTTCTTATTGTCAGGATAAATGCTAATGGTCCAAAACACATCCTGTGTTAATTTGACTTTTTAAGACCTCTAAATGTGGTATTCAAAAGGTCATAAAAAGAATCCAATAAAATTACTTTCTAGGCCCAATTTTTACGGATTAAACTTATTACTGCACTGAGAATTTTTATAACGACAACTAGCAGGGTTCAGAAAAGCAACTGAAAAGCGAGAGAGGCTAAATCAATTACATTTAGAAAATTGTTAAAGTAGTTTTTGCTGGAATTAACACCTGCCCATTAAGAGTCGAGTAGCTTCCTAGCTACTGTAGCAAAGCTAGCAGTAGCAGCAGTGTTTGGTGCAGGTCTGATGTTGACTGAAACTCCACTAAAAAGAAGTGAACAGCCTCCAGCATGTTGCACCAGGGCAACTGACCAGTGGTCAAACTGTCATGCGTGGTTAGCCCCTATCAAGCTGTGTAAAACCTGCATTTAGTAAGTGACTCTGCATCTTTCTCCTTTTACATGGACCAACAGGTTATGAGTCAGCTGTGACTCAAATAATCATCACTACACTTTGCTATTATGGAATACTGTTCTGTGTGAATCTAAGCAGCCACAATTCAGATGCAAAATACAAGAAACGGTTGGCACCAAAGAAAATCGCCCTTAGACCCTCACTTACTGCCTCCAGCTGCTTCTTCTTCTGGACCAGGAGCTCCAGCATCAGATTGACATTTGCCAGGTCCAAGTTCTCCTGGTCAGGACTCAACACATCCTGGAACACCTGCCACCTAGACCCGTTCTGGGAGGTGGTCAGAGATGCTGATCAGTTAAAACTTGTGGAGACTCCCACTTAGTCATGACCCTAAAAGCCAGGCTTCCTAACAATGTGAGCATGAGGAGAAGAAGAGTGTGTGGGAGAAACAAACAAGTCACAGTATGAAATGTGCCGCACTTACAGGATGATCTAATTTTAGTCTCTTCTCCTCCGACCTTTGCTTTTGTTTAAGAATCAGTTCGTTGACTGCAAGACAGAAAACAATTTCAGAATTACTTTCTGATCATCAGACAGCAGAAAAGAATATCGAGCAGCACCTTAGACATAAACAAACCTCAACCTTTGGATTTCAAACACCTACCAAGAAAGTTTGGGTAAAGCTGATCCACATTGTCGACAATATAGTTGCACTTGGGACATCTGTTGCTGTCCTCCAGACTCTGGCGGATACACTTGAAACTGCAGGCGGGAGAAACAAGTGAATACTGTGGAAATAACTGAAGCAGTGCAAGGAAGAGAGGACAAAAGAACACTGTTGCAGTGTGTTAGTGGTAATTAAGTTAAGCCAAACTTAACTGCGATAAGATGCCCACGTATAACCAAGCACAGACAAGTTTGACTTCTCTATTCTCATGTTGCTTTTGTACATGTTTTTCCTGAATGTTTTAGTGTTTGGTTGCACTATTCTTCTTTGAATTACTTGAGTATGTGCACAAACAACTACCCTGTTTGACCATGGTAGTCACTCATCCTACATGCACACACACAGTCCACTCATTCATGCCCAAACAATCTAAATACTATTACATAATTTGCATTTGCATGTAAAAGGCTTGTGTAGTGATTGGGTGAAGTGCTGGACAGGTGGAGGAGAAGGAAGATGTGTCTTTTTCTGCCCCGACAGGTGAGCATCATTCATACATAAAAATGTGCACAGTTGTATTTGTTTGCAAAAGTCTTTATGAGTGCACGCTCTGGTGTCTAAACTGCTTCTGTGTCAGTGTCCTCAAACATCCTTTAAATCATGTGCTGTGAAACAACTCTCCCACTGCCTCAGCTACAACTCAACACTTACCAAAAACTGTGCCCACACTTTGTCATGTGTGCCTCTTCTATCATTTCGAAGCAAATGGGACTGGAAGAGACAAAAAAAAGCCGTGTTAAGTGCATGTCAAACTGTAGCTTTCAAACTTTTGAAACACTGTAAGCTTTCAAAATGCCCTGCAACTACAATTTACAGGAACAACACCATTTTCAAAAGCTCCCACTCCAGAGAGAACTAACCAGACAAAGTCGTTGCTTTTATCTTCGTATGAATTCAAGAGGCCGTTGTATAGGGGTGTTTGATGGAGGGATTTCTTCCTGCTGCCCGAGGACGCAGAGGGTCTACTCAGAGAAGCAAAACCGCCCCGGGACGACGGTACGGCGGCCAAAGTTGGCACCGACAAGCCGCCGTCGCCGGCTGGTGCCAAGGTCCGGGAGGGCACAACATTTCCAGAATTGTTACCATTACTTGTGACGGAGTTGCTGCCACCGCCGCCGTTAGTGTTCCCAGTGCCCCCCGTGCTGTTGCTACTTGTGCCGGGCACTGAACTCGCCCCACCAGCGTTTAGCTGTGGCCGGTTGCTTGACATCATGCAAGGCCGACTAGAAACTCCCCAAAATCCGCTGCGTTGCTGTTCAGAGCATCCGGACAGTGCTGCTACTTTAGCAGGTTGGCTAGCTAGCTGGCTCGCTTATGTGCTAGCATCCTGGGAGAAAGCAACAGTGGCCAAACATCCGGCGTATTTAAACTTGTCCGTCGGTGTCTGACTCACTTTTGTCACTGACGGCGTATTGGAAAATTACTGTAATATAAAGGGAAAAAAAGACACGGACATTGAAACGGACAATAATATAAACACAACTGCGTTGTGCAAGAGATTAGCCGGCTAGCTACTGTTAGCTACGGAGAGGAATCTCTTGAGTTTCCTCGATTACCCAGGTACCCAGTATGCTCCCGGCTCTCAACTACCGCCCTCTGGCGAGAAGGAGTTTAACTGCGCGGAAAGTATTATCCATACTTCTAAATACCACAGCTGTCAATTTGGTTTTAATTATGTGATTCTCACCAGAACAATTAGCATTTTTTTCTGGCTGAACTCATTATTTAATTAAAATCAGCAAGAGTACAGCCCCACACCCAGTGAGCAGACAAATAAAAACCCACATTTTACTGTAATACAACAGTGCTGTAACTAGATGTGTTCTCTTCAACTCCATGGCAATTTGTAATGCTGTACTTTGTGGTGTTTTCGTACTTAATTACACTATTTAGTAAGGTATTTCCAGTATTTTCTCTCCTCCATTTATGCAGCTGAACTGGATAATGAAAGGTTTATTCTTGACCTTGGAAACTGTATGTGTGACAAATGTATCTCACCTCAAAGATCTACTTCCTCGACTTTTCTGAGCTTTCAGCAACATCTCATATAGTTAAAACTTCAGAAAAAGCACATAAATGGACTTCTCATTTAAGAATATTATGCCACAAATTTAATAAACACACAAACGTAAAATACTACAAAACATTTCAAGTAGGAAAGATTATTTGAAGTCATTTTGCTTTGGATGATGCCATTTTTCTGGCTGCTCAGTATACTGGCATAATCTTTTAGACTTAAATCAAATGTATTATCCATGTTCAGTGTCTTTTTATCTGACCATGCTAAATAAGTCCCTCATTTTTAGTTGAAACTCAGGATAAACAGCATAAGCCATACTGGCAAACTGTAAACCATATGGAATGTGATCAAAACGTTGCATTAAATAAGAGCAAATTAAGGGCTTTCCATCAGTTTTGTTGTATGTCGTCAATATTCTATATTTAATATTAATACAAAAATATCACAATATGCACAAAATGATTCCTAAATGGCCGCCTCAGAAAATTATAGGAACATCATGATTATACCTCAGGATATAAAACACAGGTTCCTTTTCGAAGAGTATAATGATTTCAGTGTCTCCTCATATTTGTCATTTCTTTCACACGATATTGCCTTTACATCAAAAAAAGAAAAAGAAAAAACCAAGCAGGTAGGTCACATCCACAAAGTGCAGGCCAGCAGCCGGGCCAAGCAAAACAGTGTCATGTCATCCAAGCATCCACCTGCAGCTCTGCAAATAAAACCTAAGGAGCACTAACGTATTCACGCTCACAGTTTATGCAGGCCTGCTACTTGCTTTTCCATTTTTACCTCCACGTGGGCAAACAAGGGGTCCTCCACGTAGTCACGCACAACATGGATTTTCCCATGTTTTTGTTTGCGGAAGAAGTTTATATGTATCATTACAGAGCTCAGTTAGGATGTGTAATAAGGTTCTCAGCAAGAGGAAAATTACTGGATACATCGAAGAGTAAATTAATTTCCCTGAGAAGGACCACCGTGTACATGTAAAATGTCTTTATGGGCTGCAGAGGTCAGTCATGCTGGGTTCAATTTAATGTGTGACTAAAGTAGGTGCAAGTCAGTGTACTAATACCAGGAATAAGAATACAAGATTTCATGCAATTTTCTGTCTAATTGCATTCAAACATGTCACAATGTGAGCCATACTGATGCATATTAAATCTACAAATTGGGATTTTTTTTTTTCACACTGCTTTCGATACTTTTTTAAATATGACTTCTGGGTTTTACAGAGATAACATACCGTACAGATCCACAGAAGAGATGGGACAATAAATAAGTGCACATATAACAAATTAATAATTATAAACACCTTCAATACTCAAAACACTGACTCTGAATAAGATCTTTTGAGCCAAACACCTGCAGTACTGTATATACACAGAGCATTCAACCCCCCCCCTTTTCTATTTTATACCAGTGGTGGTGAAAAGCATGCCTTCTTTCTTTCTCCCCTTTTCTTCTTTCTTCCCCTCCTCATTTGTCCTGCACATCAGCCTGGATTTTCTCCTATTGCCCCCCCCCCCCCCCTTTTTGCATGAGGAACCAGGTTGTATATGTGTGTGTGTGGGGGATGTGTGTGGTGGTGGAGGGTCAGCAGTGTTGGTGAGCTAGAGGTTAGTGAGCGGCAGCGAGGTAAGAGAGAAAGAGTGAGTGACACAGAGGAAATAATGAGGGTGTGTGGGGAAACGATTGAGCGAGCGAGAATAAGTGTGTGTGTGAAAGAGAGAGAGAGAGAGAGAGAGAGAGAGAGCGGGAGAGAGTGGGAGAGGGGAAGACAGAGAGCGGGCCTCAGGGTCGGTGGGGTCAAGACCGACAAGCTCAGATGAAGGATAATCTGTGGAGGTCCCTTACAGCGGGGGGTGAGGCCCCGATGGAGCACGCCCATTCAGACTTTCTCACACACACACACACACACACACACACACACACACACACACACACACACACACACACACACACACACACACACACACACACATACACGCATTCTACCACACACTGCACACCCCTCTATTGCTCTCTCTTCCTCTTCTGTCTCTTCTCCTTCATCCTCTCTTTCCCTCCCTTTTTTGTTGCTTTCTCTTAAATCCACCCCTCCTATTTCTCCCTCCTATTTGTCTTTTTTTTCCAACACAGTTGCAGCTGGATTTCAAAGGGCACTTGGCCAGCAGAAAAAGCTGAATGTTTAGCAGGCAGATCCCTCAGTCAGGCAGGCTGGGATTGTGGAATTCCTGCCTCCCACTCTTTAGGAACCGTTTTTGCCCCTTCAGGGGCCCCTGCCATAACTGCCAGCAGCCTCCTCCTCCATCTCCATCTCCAGCCTCGAGCCAGGGCCCTGTTTGCAAATTGAGCCTGACAAAAAATAGTGGGGTCTTCGGGGGAGAAGAAAGGGGCAGCGTTTCTGATGGTGTGGAACAGCAACAGCTGCCTGTGGTAGCGTAGAGCTTAAACAATGAGCGAGTGCATCATGATAAAACACGTGAATGAATTTGTCTGCATAAACATGAACACAGCTGCACAAATCAATCCTGCGAGAGGACTAGATATTGTAGCTGTAAAGTTTTATGGAGTTTTCAATATCAGTATAGATTTTGCTTTGCAGTGTCTGGAAACATCTCAGCAGGTACACCTGTCTTTTGAGTTAGCCTGCATGAGTTGCCAAAAAGCAATTTTTCCATTCGCAAGGTATTTCTTTAATGACTCAAAATGCTCAACCATATATGATAAACTACAAAAACACCACATGAAGAAGGTGGATAATACTGCGATTGGTGCTAAACTCAGTGTGTGTGTGTGTGTGTGTGTGTGTGTGTGGTATGACTGTAGGTCACTTCTTCTGCTGGCTAAGCAGGAATGAAAGGAAAAATCTTTCTCCACTGTTTGGTGTGATGCAACCATACAGACTGTTACAGATTGTGAGATTTTGAATGTAATATTTTTTCAGAATGTATGGAAGCAGACAAACACATCCTTAAAGTAAGAAAAATGTTTATTATTCAGACCTTGGGAAAGTTACTTTGACTTATCACTGGGCACAGTAAGTGGACTTTAAGTTAAAAAAAATGTTTTTTGTCAAACATAACATATATATAATGTCCTAAACAGCGCGATATCCTATAATGTGTTCAAATAATCTTATTTGTGAATGTATATTTGTGATTTTCTGTATAGATTATTGCGTGTTTAACATGATTTTCCTATATGAGAGAATTCTTGTATTAGTTTATACAGCAAAATCAATAAAATAGAATAATTAAAAATTGTGTTTGTGGTATTTTCACTTCCACTTGTACTTTTATTATATAATATTCCTCCATGTATTTCTCCTTCCATCTCCCCTGCTTTTAATTCCCCCTCTCACACACTGCCTTCTCCCCATTTGTTTTGTTCAGCCCTGGCTCGGTCCACATGAGCACAAGGGTTCGGCACAAAGCAGGTAACATATTTGGATGATAAAAAGCTCACAAAACCCCTTTTCATGTGCGAGACAGATGTTGTGCCTGTCTGTGATGTAGCACTGAGGAGAGCCAGAGCATGAGTGAGTGAGATACTCACAGATAGATCAAGAGAACAGGGAGGGAGGGAGGGTGGGGGAGAAAGAGAGAAATGGGATGGAAGAGGAGAGGGGGAGGAAGCGAGGGAGGGTTACTCAAACCTCACCTCCTTCACTTTGGAGTATGTGTGTGTGTGTGTGAGAGAGAGTGAGAGTGACGGGTGGCAAGGGAGAGATCAAACAGACTTATGTTACTGTAGCAGGAGCAAACACCCCCCCATCCCCCCGGCTCAGCCACCTCCAACATCATTCATCCGCTGCCAGATTGACAGTAGAGCTTCCTATTAAGAAGATACGGACAGTTAGTACATTTACTCAAGGTATTATTATTATTATTATTATTATTATTAATACTTATACTACTATATATTCCACAGCTGGCTACTGTGCACATTCATATTTGACACATAAAATGAACTCTATGCATTTGTATAGAATTACCAGACAGTATATAAACTATTATAAAGTAACAGGAAAAGACTGTGACATAAATGCATCATCCAGTACTGATAATGATATACACTCACATGGGACATTTTTTTAATAATAAGTAGTTTTGCTTTTGATACTTACAGAATGTACAGTATTATACGTACAATTCTGCTTCATAACGAGGAAAATCCTTTACATAGCGTGAATAAAAGTGCTGCGACACAAAAATACACTCTGCACTGAAAGTGTCAATTATGTATTATCAAAATGTACTATTATGTGGTTATTAATATTATTACTGATGCATTAATGTATGTGTTGCATTTCAGTCGGTGGAGGTAGAGTATATTATACAGTATATTCTGTTCATGGGGTGGTTTCCTCTATAAATATTATATCTATATATGCATTGATTTTACAAGCTGCATTGCATTTTTTTGCATAAATATTTCCCTCTGAAATGTAGTGCAGTGGAATGAAATTGAATTATTCCAGTAAAATACAAGAAGCTCAAAATTTTACTTAACTTAGTA